TGTGCTTCAGTGTTGTTTAGGACTCAATGATAAATTAAAAATTTACTTTTTTTTAAGTTTTAAAGATATTTTGTACTCTGATGTGTTACTGATGTGTTAATGGACCTTGTTAGGGTGGTGGATTTGAGTGGTGTGTGCACAGTGTCAGTCACAAGTCACACGTGTCTATTTTTAGCTGAGAGCAGTTTCTTTGGTGACTTGTGATCGCCAAAAATGTCTCTTGGGAGAATTAAAATGACTTAAAATTAGTAAAAAGTCACTCGTGGCTCCTTAGGTTTTAAGCTATGCACTTGTACACTTGAATTTTAGTCCTAATTTCTTGCTCCTACAAAGGAGCACTTGTAGTTCTGAATTGTTCAGTCTCATCTCCTTTGATTTCAGTTGAGAGGACTAACACGCACACACAAGTTCACTCTCTCTCTCAGTGTGAATGAGGATGTGTGTGAGCATGTGTGTGTGAGCATGTGTGAGAGTGTGTGTGTGTGTGTGAGATAGTATGTGTGTGTGAGTGTGTGTGTGAGAGAGATAGTATGTGTGTGTGAGTGTGTGTGTGTGTGTGTGTGTGTGTGTGTGAGATAGTGTGTCTATTCCTATCAGAAGTTCACTGTTAGGAAAGGGAAGTGCCCCCCCCATGCCCACCCGTTACATGTAGCCTGGCTGCTTCCCCAGCTGGCTCCTCCCCTAACCGGATGTCACATGTCACGCCACCTCTCACAGCATGCCGTTCTCTGTCCATTCATTGGTGGTTGTTCTTCACACCAGGCCCTCACCTTTTGGCACAGAACCTGCATCTGGTCTGTGGGGCGGAGCCTCCTTGGAGTACAGAGGGGCAGCCCCTCCGCACATCTGGGGCTTGTCTTGTGCCTTGTTTGTGACTGCAGCCTAAGCCTGTGAGTCATGGCTGGGAGGGCGCTCCAGGAGACCCATGATGTGAGCCCTGTAACAGTGCAGTTCTGTGGTTCCCTGTGAGACTTCCCTGAAAGGAAGTCTGAGGTGTGACTGTTAAACTCTTTTAGGATTTTCTCACCACTCACCCCTTACTGTCTTTAGTTTGCTCCATGACATCAGCTCTGGTTCCTAGGACCAGCCAGGCCCACTGTGGTTCTGGGTGCTGGCTCTGTGCCCTGATGCAGGCCGATGCCTGGACGAGCGCTCTGCTTCCAGGCAGAGAGCATCTTGTAGCCTGTTAAACTCGCTGTGCTTTGATGGCCACTGATGTTGAACACGTACGGTCTATGCTCTTTTTATCTAATGTCTTTTTAAGTCTTTGTTTACAGACGTGGTGTTAAAAAGCTGTACGTGTTAACCTCTACATACATAATATGTTTTGGATCTTTAATATTTAGTCAGTGTTGATCTTTAACTGACTGAATTTCTGGCTCTCTCTTCTACGCCTGGGAAGAGTCAGTGTCTGCTGCTCCTTTAGCAGGGACCCAGCGTCTGGGAGTACCACAGTGAGGATGGATTAGGAGGCTTCACACTGTCAGGCACTTTGAAGTGAAATTCAGGGTCAGGTTAAGACCACTGCTTTCTGCCTTTGTAGTTTGCTGTAATGGAGACGAACTTCTGTTTATAGATGTGTGAATGTGTGCAAGTGCGAATGTGTGTGTGTGTGTCCCTTCTACTAAACTAAAGGACGCTGGACTTCACTGTTAATAGTATTTCCCTGATGAACAGGAAATTGAAGGATACTAGTCTCTGTCTCTCAATCCCAGAATTCTGGGCTTACGGGTTGTATCTTGTCTTTTTCTGGCTGGAGAAAGGCTTTAATAAAAGACAGAGACCAGCATTAAGTCTGTTGAAGGTGTGGGTTTACAGGGTAACAAAGTTTGAGCATTTCTTAGCTTCTATATAGCTGAAAAAATGTAAGACTGCTTGTGTCCGGTTAGAAAAAGAGCTCTTCCGTATAAAAGCTAATCTCACCGAGGGCTGGGGTTGGGCTTCAGTGGGCGCCTATCTCAGAAGGAAAACTCCCTTCTGAAGGTGGACACAGCAGCGTGGAACCCAGGTGAAATGATTATATACGGGTGTATACGTGAACCGAACCTCACTAAATGCTTGTTTGCGTGGCACTTGGCATGCTTGCCTGGTGCTGCAGGTATTGATTACAGAGCTGACGGGCAGCATTTGCTCTCACTGGTTTTCAGTTAAACCATGTGGACATTCAGGTGTCTAACAAGAATGGAAAGGCTACACTAATGACAATTATAAAGTGTCTAAAAATAGTTCTTTAGTGACATCTGTTTTGGGTTTTAGGTTTTGCATCGTCATGTGGGGAGGAAGGAGTCCTCATCTGCTTATTCTTTATATATAAAGATCCAGATTCACAAATCCGTGTCTGAGGACCTCGTTCATTCACTTTGTATTTTTAACGCAGGCACCCTCCAGGACTTGGGAATTGTTTTATTTTCCCTCACATGTGTATGTGCTGCACAGAAACGTCTTCCAAGATTTTACTTAGCCATCTTCCTTTCCTCTGTGGCCCACAGACCTGCTCCTAAAGGGAAGTTTGGTCAAACTTTGGCAGTTAGTGTTATCGTTGCCCCCTCCAGTGGCTGGGGGCCCCTGGGATACAGGGATCGGTCGGTTCTTTAGCCCCCACCCCATCCTGAAGTCACTGAATGTTTACATTGAGTGACTGTGCTCTCTAGACACCAACCTGGTTTCCTAGCAACAGCACCATCCTAACCCAGGCTTCTTTTTCCTGGCCTGCAGTGATGGAGAGTGCTCTGTCACAGCATCAGGGCCTGCCGCTCCACTCCCAGGGTCCACCTCTTACTGTGTAATCAGCACACTGCTTTTCTGTGCTTGGTGAGGATATAGTAGCTTCCAGAATTTGATTGGCCACCGGGTCTTGCGTGTTGGCCAACTAAGCAGAAAACACTGCACCATTCCCAGGGCAACCAGTCTGCTTGCTGCAAGGGCATTTCTGCTCCACCCCCTTTTCTGACTTGCAGACGTGATTTGGGAGCTGCTGGCTGTGCAGTTTCTTTCCCTACCTTCGCCTTTCCCGAGTCTGAGGTTTGAAAAAAAAAAAAAAGAAGCAGCTTTTGCTTAGGGTTCAGTTAAAGCGTTGGAGTCCTTGTCTGTGCAGATCTTGTGGCAATTCTTGGGCCGGTTTCTGTTACTGTTAACACATGCAGTGCTTACAGAGGGACACCCTGGCTCTCCGTGGTTTCCCCGGCATTAACCTGGCATGGCCTCAGGCCTGTGAAGGCAGCAGAGCACAGGCTGCAGCCCCCTCTTGGGAAGGGTGACTGGGGTCAGACCCTATGGTCAGAGAACCTTGCTGTTTTCCAGCTCTCTCATCCCCTGCTGCCGTTCTGTTTTATGAGGTGACCGCCACCATTCACCACCACCTGCTCTGCGTCGGGTATGGCATGGTGGTGAATGTTTGAAAGGGGATTTGGGAAATAGCTCTAGTTTGGAGCAGTGGGCAAGTGATTGGCAGGGATGCACACCAGTGTCTGAGGTGTGCAGATTCAAGAGCCCGCCCACCAAAGAGTGAGCAGCGTCCTCTCCTGGGGAAGGTTAGAGACAAGGTAGAGCACAGGACCAGCAGATTCCCACACATCCCAGTGGCTCATGTGATGGACCGTAGGCCTGAGGGAGGCCCTGGGAAACCCTCAGAAGCAGGTTGGGACGGAGTCCCGACTCCACAGCCCAGTGCTCCTTGCTCTAAGGATGCAGTGAGGGCTGCTGTCCCAAGTCCTTGGTCAACAAATAAAACACAGTTGCCCTGACACGCCCACCCGTCCCTGGCGTCTGCCATCTACACTTTGTGAGCTAATTTGACTTGGTATGTGCAGAAGAACCCATATAAGTTTTAAACAAGGGCAGGGGTCAGCTTCTAACGGAGAGCCAACTGGTCTGCAGAGCATCTTTGTGGTGAACGAGAGGCTCACACAAACAGGACCTCTTGGCTTCTTTCCTGTCCCTGGCTTCCAGCTCTGCTCAGGTCTTTGCATCTTTACAGCCGTGGGTGGAGGAAAGTTTTCAGGGAATGCTGGTCGGCCGAGTGGAACTCGGGATGCTCACCTGGCAAGCCATCTCTTGTGCAGATGGTATGCTAGGACTCTCTTCTAGGTTGCAAACTCCTTTAGGTGTGAGCCGCTCTGTCTTTTTGTCTTATCGAAGCCTGTGGTAAGCACGTGTTGCAGAAGTGACATCTGCAGAGTTGTCTTTCTGTAAAACGGCTGTGTCACCGAATTCCTTGCCTCCCTAAGGGTTGAGATGACCTTCGTAGCAGTGGTCCATCAGAGTTGACGCTTGGATGCCTCTGGGCAGACGTACGCCATTTGGGACCGATTTGTTTGTTTTTATATTTACTGCCTGGGTTTCAAAGACGCTTGAGCCTCGCTTGAAAATGAAATGTACCTCGTAGTCTGTGCAGATGCAGAAATGGGATGGGAAGAGCATGCATGACCCCATGTCTAAAACATATACCTGCACAGAGTGAGTGTTGGCGCCTGTGCGTGTGTTTGGTAGGACACCATCGAAACCACATTCTGTCCTCACAGACATTCTTAGTGGGGATGTAACTACTGGCAAAATCTTACAGTTTGACAAGTGGTCAATAAGTCTGCAAAAATTACTGGACCTCCTTGTTTTGAGTACTGCTACACAAGGCCTTTTGTGAGCCGGTGTGCCTGTTAATGTATGGACCGCCACCAACGCATCTTCCTGTCATTAATTAACTCCTGCTTTTTCCGGCACAGAATTAATTTCCCTGGCTTTGGGACCTGAGCATCTTTTGGGGGTGGGGGTGGTTAGTGCTGGTGTTACAGGTGTGAGCCACATACCTGGCTTGTATCTGTTTATTATTAGTTTTGTATTATTTTAATTAAAAAACCTGGGTTGTTAACAAATAGGATTATTCTTAGTAGAATTTAAACATTTTTAAGAGTTTGATAAAAGAAACAGGACGTTGGGTTTTTTTGTTTTTGTTTTGTTTTTTTTTTTTTTGAAACTGCTGAAGATCTTGCTTTTAATGTGTCATTTCAGTTCCTGTTACTATGGCAATGACAGCGGGGGCAGCAACCACCTTTCCTATGAGCAACCATACCAGGGAGAGAGTGACAGTGGCCAAGCTCACACTGGAGAACTTTTACAGCAACCTGATTTTACAGCATGAAGAGAGAGAAGTCAGGTACAGCAGAGGCTAAACGTTTGCTCGCTTGCCTGTGACCGGATGGGAGCCCTGCCCTCTGTGGAGCTTCCTGCACCGGCCACACACCTGGTTGCTAGTTTTTCGCTCATTTCCTGGCTTTCCAGAGCCTTGTGCACACATGCTTGGAGCACAGATGTGTCCAGCTGTGGCATCATGGTGTGCCTTTGTGCTGTCCTTCAGAGAGATGGCTTTAGAAAGCGCTGACTAATGTATAGCGTTAGTGGCACCGTGTTGTGGCCGTGGGGATGGAGAGAAAGGATGGCCTCAGTGGAAGTTGGAGTGTGGTAAGGGACACAGATTCTGCATGAGAGGGAGGGGAGTGGCCGTGGGGGGACCAAAATGGACACACACATGCTTTGACTAGTGCCGTGGGAGCACTTCCCAGATGACAGGGACATTTGGCCAGGAAGAGCGTTGCTCACACGAGTTAAGAGGATGTGGAGGAGGCATTGAGCAGGACAAGCTAGGTCCTTTCGTAGCGGATATAAAGACTGGGTTAGTTGGTCCTCAAACCATGACCCCTTTTGGGTAGATTCAAGAGTATTGGTCTTCTGTTGTATAATACAAAGCTAATTAAGGATGAGTTGTCCAGAAATATGGTTAGGAAAAACACCAACTGTAGACATGAAATACTGTTCACTTAAGAGTGAGTAGCAAAAACATGCTCCACAGTTCTCGTCAACATCTGCAGCCCTGGCGGGAATACTTGGCTTAACTAACTTGTTAAAAAAAAAAAGAAAAAAGAAAAAGCCAGAGAGTCAAGCGTGTCCGTACCTAGAAAAGCAAAAGTTCCGATCAATGACTATTGTCCTAAATATATATGACTTTTCAGTTTTCAAAGAATTTTAATAAAATATATGTATCTGTCATTGGAGTCTCTCCTGAGTGGGGGAAGTTATTTTGTACTGGGAGATAAACAATAGAGCTTTGGTCAGTATGAAAATGCTAAGTCTGAGTATCTCAAGAAAGATTCCTGGCCACAGTGAATAGTTCAATCTTCGTCCAGTTTGAAAGATTTTCTTAGCATAACGTGCCCAGTGGTTGGCTTGGATAAGTAGCTGTAGTTGTTAAGTGGGAATAGGAACACATGTAGAAAGTCTAACTGTTTTTTCTTTGGAAAAGGCAGAAGAAATTAGAAGTGGCCATGGAAGAAGAAGGATTGGCGGACGAGGAGGTAATGTAAACATCTATGCCTAATGGTGTCTGTCAGCTGACTGTGTGGCTTGGCTGTGGTGGGTGTCTCCATCTGAATGTGGCTTCTTACCGTGTTGCTGTGTGGGTGTCTGAGGAGGAGATGGATGGCCTTTGCCCCCCAGAACATCATACGTGCTCAGGACCTGTGTGTGGGGGACAGGGGCAGGCTCTGGACTCCATCCTCCCTCCCCCTCCCTCCCTTCCTCCCCCCTCCCCCTTCCTTCTCTCCCTACCTCCCTCCTCTCTGTGTGTGCTCAAGCTCTGGAGCTGCCTATCCATTCCGTCTTCTCACATTTTTTTTTCTGAATATATATATTTTTTTAATGGATTACTCCCTAATCTAGGCCCCCTTGCGTCTCACTGATAACGTCTTGAAGTGATCTCTTCCTTCTGTCCCCAGTTTTTCTGTGCTCTGAAGACAGGTCTGGCTAACTGCCCTTCCTGCCTGTGATGTCTTTAATGAGATGTCATGCACTGCCCCCCCTGCATCCCCCACCCAGTCTCTGTGTTTGCTTGCTTGGTCCTGGGTTGGTTGGTGGTGCTGTTTGGGGAGGCTCAGGAGGTGTGGCCTTGCTGGAGGAAGTGTGTCGCTGGAGGCGGGCTTTGAGAGCTCTAAGACTGAGCATTTCAAGTTTGATCTCTGCTTCCTGCCTGTGCTTCGCCACCATGGGCTCTAACCCTCTGGAACCGTGAGCACAAACAGTCTGAGTTCCCTTGCTGGTGGTGTTTTATCGTAGTAGAAGAGTAGTTAATTTGATGCAGTGCAGGCTTCTTTATTAGGGGCCTGTTTCTCTCCAGCCTTCGCTCTTGGCACGCCATCCTGCCTTGACCAGCACTGAACTGTTGTGATTTCTCCCTGCTTTTCATGTGCTATTTCTGCCTCTTGAAGCACTTTCTCCTCCCCAATGTCTAACTTCCCTGGGAAATCCTCCCTAACCGTGCAGCTGCTTGTCCTACATTCTACACTGACACCGTTTCTGTCCTTGTGACACCCTGAAAACACCATCTTTCCAGAGACTAGAGAGCCTGCATCCCGTCTCACTCAGCATCACACCCCAGAGCCGGAACGAGTACTTTGGTAGTGGGTGAACAGTGGGTCTCCTTGCATTGAAGCAGGCAAGGAGGCCCACCGTGAATTGCAACTAGAGATTATTATATGCTTTGGCAGTAAGGGGGCTCACACATGCATGACAGCCTGCATACATTTAGGGGCTGCTAGTGCTTGCAAAGCCCTGGTTTGAGTCCCAAGTCCCCTCCCAACAGGTAAAAATTTGTGTAGATTATGGAATATAGCAGACTTTGAAAACACACCCCCTTGCCATACAGGGGATTAAAAAAGGTTTGGTGGAGAATGTAGCCGCTGACTTAAATCTTCACAAACTAGCACTGTGGACAGTAGTGATGTTGCATGCATTAAAGAGGGCAGGAGAGAAGGGAAAGCTAGCTTTAGGGCAGTTACTAAATTAAAAAAAAAAAAAAAAAAAAAAAAAAAAAAGTTTTTTTTCTGGCTGAGAATGAGTTACAGTGGTCAGGAAGGAGCTTGGAAGGAAAACACTGACCACCAAGTGATGGCTTGAAACCGAGCGAGCTAACGCACCCCACAGCTTCCCATGCTATGTGCCTGCCCTAGCTGGCATCTTATGGAAGGTAGGGGAGGTTAAAGGTACTTAGATAAAAGTGTAAGTGTCCTAAAACCCTGTTTTATCCTTTTAAATTAGCGAGAGGAGTAATTTAAGGCCTGCATCCTAGTCTATAGAGAAAGGTGGACACACCGTCTCTTAATTTTTCTCATCAGTAGTTTAACCTTCTTATAGCTCGTAATGAAAGTGCAGACAGAAATTTTTGTTTGTTTGTTTGTTTTCCAGACAGGGTTTCTCTGTGTAACCTGGAACTTGCTCTATAGACCAGGCTGGCCTTGAACTCAGAGATCCACCTGCCTCTGCTGGGATTAAAGGCAAATGCCACCACTGCCTGGCCAGTACAGAAATCTTAAACACAGGATCTTAATGATAAGTTTAGGGAGGGGTCACCAGAATAGAAGCCCCCCGCTGAGCACAGTGGAAACTGTACTTTGAAGGACAGTGTGCAGTCTATAGTAAGGCCCTGTCTCGGGGGGAGGGAGGAGAGGGAGGGGGAAGAGGAGGAGGAAGAAATAGTTTTGGGTTTTTGTTTGTTTTTTGGTAATATGTTTGTTCCTCACACTTTATGTTAGGCCTGCCATTTGTCAGACACCAGGAACTCAGGATCTGCCATGTCAGACGACAGATTTCAAAACAGTCGCTCCTCTATTAGCCTAGTGTGGCCATGTTCCTGTTGTACAAGATCTGGAAGTCTGGACTTCTGCCTAGTAATTTTAAAGCTGCTTTTAAAAATAATTGCCAAGCGATAGAGGTCTGGGAAGGCCTGTTTGTGTGGTCGTGGCGCCCCCTGGTGGGCACTAATGTTTTTCCTTAATTCTTGTTTATAGCGCAGAGAAAATGTCCAATCATTTTGCTTCTAGAAGTCAGCGGCTTGTAATATCTGTTTTTAAACATCCCACTTCGTTTCTGTAAAGATATTTTAAAATCCTTATGTGTTTATTGTGAGGCTCAGTGCTTATAAAACAAAACAAATTCTCACAATGTTGGAACTGTCATGGTAAGGAGTTAGAAGTTCTTGTTTCTTCAAAAAAAAAAACTTAAATTTTTCTTATGCACGTGTGCAGGTGTGGGGTGCATGTGAGGCCAGAGGACAGCTTGGGGTGCCAGTCCTCTTCAGGACTTTTTCCTCGTTGACCTAGAGCTCTCTAAGTAGGCTAGGCTGCTTGGCCAGCTGACTCAGAGATCCAGCTGCTTCCGCCTTCCCAATACTGCGATTATAAGTGTGTGCCACCACACCTGGCGTGTTTGCATAAATCGTGGGGACTGAGCTTGGGTCCTTGTGTCTGTGGGACCAAGTGAGCTACCTTCAAGTGTATTTTTCCAGTGAAAGTTAATACCCTTTTCTGTAACAGAAAATGGTCCGTGCAATGGCTCGTGAGTGAGCTGTGTGTGTGGCTGTGTCCAGCGGTAGCTCAGAACTATGAAACATCCTGACTGCTTTACAGACAGACGCCTGGGCACACTGCGGGTTGAGGATGTGGTCCATTTGAGAAGGAATGGCATTTCTAAACCCAGCACTGGGGGAGAGAGAGAGAGAGAGAGAGAGAGAGAGAGAGAGAGAGAGAGAGAGAGAGAGAGAGGAGAGAATTGCCAGCTACACAATGGGATTGTCTCAAAACACAGGGGAGGTTACATGCTAATTAAAAATGTCAGCAAAAATGGGTGTTTGTTTATTACTGGGAAAAGCAAAGTAAGTGGCTAAAGCCGCAGAAGAAGGGAGCCATGAGGGGCCATCCGCCCACAGGCCTTTGCTGAGGGAAAGTGTGGGTTAGCACAGGGATCACTTTTCAGTTCACTCTGAGCAGGTAGAGTGAGTCCTCAGCCACTGGACTGAGGGACGTGGCTGTCTTGGGGCCAGGGTTCTGTTGCGAATGAATTGGTACACATTGTGGCTCCCTGTTAGTTGCTGAGGGGCCGTGCTCTGGCAGGCGTGAGAACCTGCCCGATACTCCCCGATTGTGATTTTGGGTGTTGGAATTTTTGGCAGACTCTTGTCTGTAGACCATAAGCATAAGTCTTGTGAAACTGCAGTCAGGTCTTTTCTGCTCAGGTGAGAACCATCTTCCACAGTCATGTGTCCATTTACTCTGTGTAGGTAGATGCCAAAGCAGGCACTTTTTATTGCCGTGAGGGACACGGTACTCTACTGCCACCAAGTGGTCTCTGAAAGAGAGCTCTGGTTCCGGAGCTTAAAACCAGCCAAGTCTCAGAGCTGCGAGGTTTATATTATAGATTAACTACTAACCTCAGTTCTTAATCATGCATTGCATTTTTAAGTGAGCTGCATAAGCACAGCACCCCCAAACAAGAGTAGAAGCAGATATACCGTGTAACAAAAATAACTTTAAACTTGTATCAATATACCAAAATCCATGCCGATGCAAAAATATCTGAGATTAATAGTTGTCTTTTTTACCCTATTTTCCCCTAAGTTATAGCAAACATCCATAACCCACCAGATAACCAACATCTTGGGAATGTGGATATCTTGTTCTCTAGACTGCTTCTTTAAGGGTCCCTGAGAAAGCTGGGAAAGACCAGCTGTAATCTTCATTGATAATATTACTGCTCAAGATTCAGGAGATCTCCCCCGATCAAACCTGATCCATGTCAATCCCGAAGGAACTCACAGCCTCTCATTTCCTGTGGACGTACAAGCAAAACCTCTTCTCCAAAGCAATGCATTTTCTTTGAGTTCCGTCTTAAAGTTAAGACTTTCTTAAAATACCAAAGTTGGTTTATTTCAGCATCCTTTGAATCCCATGCCCCGAGCAGCTGACTTTACTTGTAGGCAATCAAAAAATTCAAGGCCAAGACAGCGACACACAGGATCCAGACTCGCTGTGTATTTCCCATCTTACGTGGCTTATAATTTTTTTTATATTCCTTTACTTCTCTCTTTAGAGACTTTATTATTTTTAAACTATTTCTTTCCATGGCTGTCTACACCCTTTTTCTTTTCTTATGCCTGTGAACATTGTCAAACACTCTGGAACCTGTTTAGAGGGGTTTTGTTTGTTTGTTTGTTTGTTTTGTCCGCCGCCTCTTTTACTGCGTATCTTTAATCTTTTTTTGACTACATGAGCCTTTAAACTGCTATGTAGCGACCTCCGCTGGCTTTAGCAGCTGGTTCTTCTTGAATCCATGAAAGCCAAGCCTAAAGCTGGAGGCCTGGTCAGAGGAGACTGAGAACTGCATCCAGCTCCCCTCCCCCCCCAGCTCTGGAATGCTATGGCTTTTTTTTTTTTTTAACTTTGCTTTTTTAACCCCCTTGCTTAATATACTGGCTGCTCAAGGGTTTGCTGTAAGGCTGAAACTCTTAAAGGAGCTGCTGCACCCTTTTTTTTTTTTTTTAAAAGCTTTCTCAGGTGCTGTGGAAATTGGAGCTTCATGTTGGTATACCAAAATGTAGTTGGTTATTTTTATTCTTTGATCTTTGGGGGCCTGCCACTCAGCTCCCACATACACGGAGACTTACTTATGAATGCTCTCCTTCTTGCTCCAGCTGGGTGTGTAGCTGGTGTGGCCTCTGGTGCCCTCTCTGTCTCCGTCTTTTGCTCGCTGCTCCTCTTTGCTCTTCTCTTCCTGTGTTCTCCTCTCTGCCTGCCAGCCCCGCCTATCCACTCTCTGCCAACCTCTTGACCGTTCACCCCTTTATTAGACCAATCAGGTGTTTCAGATGAGCAAAGCAACACAGCTTCACGGAGTTTAAAAAAAGAAAAAAAAAGCAACATAAAAGAATGCAACCCATCTTTGCATCACTAAACAAATGCTCCACAGCGTAAACAAACGTAACACGCCTTCAACTAATACTACACAGCATATAGGTGTGATTTTAGCTGCATTAAACGATCTAAAGGGTTAAAGTTTCCCAAATCCCAATATCAGTGCAGTCTGTTTTTTTAATAACATATGTAAAGCAGTATTTGCTATATCTTTATTTCCTTTATTACCTGGTTCCTATCCAAAGTTGCACACACACACACTTGTGCACACGCACGCATCCCACAAATCAAACTGCGGACTGGAGAGGCAGCTCAGCAATGAAAAGCGCTGGCTGTTCTTGCAGAGGGCCCAGATTCAACTCATAACACCTACATTGACAGCTCACAACCATTTGTAACTTGAGTTTCAGGGGATCTGGCGCCCTCTCCTGACCTGTGAACACTAGGTGCACAGACATACAGTCAGGCAAAGCGTCCTCATGCATAAAATAAAATGCATAGCTTCATTGAAGTGTGTGAACCAAGACATTTCTTGCTTCCCTCCTACCGTTGCTACACGTATTAGAATCGGGTGTTCATGAAGCTCAGACTTAATTAGACACCTAACACTCCACAGCAGATAAACAGGTGCAGGACAGGCACGGTGTGTTACGACTTGTGTCCCTGATCTCAGCCTATGAAAGGCTCATAGGAGCACTTGAGCATGAGTAGGAGCTGAACACCTTCGATGGATTTATTCTCCTCCGTGTGCCGCCTCTACTGGGAACTATCACTGTGCCGAGGACTTGACTTTCATTAGATGAGGAGTCAGTGAGGAGATTGATGTCCAGATGCAGCCTTTGGGTATTGCAAAATGTTGCTTATTAATAGTTCCTGTTTTGTTGTCTTTGCTGAATCTGAGTACTACTGTGATAGTATTGACTTGGATGGTTTTGTTTTGTTTGTTTGTTTGGTAGGCTGGTTGGTTTTCTTCTGCTTTTGAGACAGGTTCTGTATATAGCCTTGGCTGACCTGGAACTCACAGATACCCACCTGCCACTGCTGGGTGCTGGGATTGAAGGTGTGTTCCACCATTCCCAGCTACCTTGGGTATTTTAATGAGTTTGTAATTTCATGTAGTCAGAAACTTGTGTGAAGTTTCACGCAGTTTGCTGAAATTTATGCACGAATCTGTTTTACTCTGAAGTAAATCTCCATGGGAACACTGCTGCTGTGTGACTGTAGGTAGCTGTGACAGCGCCTTGGAAAGTAAAGGATCGGAGCAGATTTCCTGACAGAGTGAAAACAAGTGTCAGAGCAAGCAGAGCCTGGTGTTGGGTGCCTGTGACCCCAGCCCTCGGGAAGGGGGACAGGAGGGCTGCCATGAGTCCCAGGCAAGCCTAGGCCACTCGGGGACACCCTGTCTCAAAAATAAGTGGATACACGCATCCCAGAATATTCCTGGCATTTGGATTATCTAAGACTTATTTTTGTTAGTTAAGTTTCCATTCAAAAGGCATCAATTTACACATACAATAAACTGCTTAAGGTGGTGTAGTCCATGAAGCCTACTTTCTGTTTTTCTTTTCTTTTTTTTATTGTTATTTTTTTTCTTATTTTACATGTCAATTCTCATAAAGCCTACTTTCAAGGGTATAGACTTAATTGTTTTTGTTTGGTTTTTTTTTTTTTTTGTTTTTGTTTTTGTTTTTCGAGACAGGGTTTCTCTATATTGCTTTGAAGCCTGTCCTGGAACTGGCTCTGTACACCAGGCTGGACTTGAACTCACAGAGATCCACCTGCCTCTGTCTCCCCAGTGCTGGGACTAAAGGCGTGTGCCACCAACACCCGGCTCAGACTTGTTTTAAAAATGTTTTCTTAATACTGTTTTGTTCTTCCCTTGCTTAATAAATACTTGATGTTGGCAAGTATATTATAGACAAGCATATAATAATCAAGATACCAAACCTGTATCTATTCATTTATTTAAAATTACATGTGTGTGAGCAAGTGTGGATTTGTGCATGAGTGAGGAGGGCTGACTTACCTGGCATCCCCGGAGCTGAATGGATGCTGGGAGCTGAGCTTGTGTCCTCTGTCTACAAGTGCATCGCACGGTTTAGCTGCTGAGTGAGACTTTCCTCTCGTCACTATGCCTTTGTTTTTTATTGTTTTCCCAAGACAAACTTTCTCTGAGTAGCCTTGGCTGTCCTGGAACTCACTCTGTAGATCAGGCTAGCCTTGAACTCTCAGAGATCTGCCTGCCTCTTCCTCCCCAGTGCTGGAATTAAAGGCGTGTGCCACCACCACAGCCTGTCTTTGTTTTAATGTGTTACCATCTTTTAATATTATACATGCCTTTGAAACAGCCTTTTTAAAAATCATCTTTTTAAATTCTGTGTTTAATAGAAAAAGTTACGCCGATCACAACATGCTCGAAAAGAAACAGAGTTCTTGCGGCTCAAGAGGACCAGACTTGGCCTGGATGACTTTGAGTCCCTGAAGGTTATAGGGAGAGGAGCTTTCGGAGAGGTGAGCTACTTTGTTCTCATTGCCGCTATTGAAAGTAGACGCCCTACGGGGTTTAAACACGGTTCCTAGGCTCCGAGGTCAGGCCAGTTGGTAGCAGTGCTTGCTTAGAATTTGACTCAGCCTCATAGAAACCAGGTGTGATGGCACACCTCTATATATACTTCTAGCATTTGGGAGATGGAGTGGGGAGAATCAGAAGTTCAAAGTCATCCACAGCTACATAATAGCACGTTCATGGCCAGCCTGGGCTGCATGAGATCCCTGCTCCCCAGGTGCACATGTATGCGGGTGTGTGTGTGTGTATGTACACGAGTATGTGGGTGTGTGAGTGTATGTGGGGGTGTGCGCACATGTATGCATGTGCGCGTGTGTGTACATGTGTATGCAGGTGTTGGGTACATGGGAATGTGGGGGTGTGCTTGTATACAGGCGAGTGTGTACACACATGTGTATGCAGGGTGTGTGTGTGTGTGTGCATGTGTACACGTGTATTGTGTGGGTGTATTCAGGTGGTGTGTGTGTGTGTGTGTGTGTGTGTGTGTGTGTGTGTGGATGCAGATGTGCTTTCTTTGGTATTACTGTGGTGAATTCCGAGGTGCAGTAAAGGAAGCTGTTTCCAGGGTCCCAGCACTTACGTTTGCACTCTAGGTGCGGCTGGTCCAGAAGAAAGACACGGGGCACATCTATGCCATGAAGATCCTGAGGAAAGCGGACATGCTTGAAAAAGAGCAGGTGCGTCTCCCCACGTGTGCAGGGCCGAGGGCCTCTGTGAGAGGGCGCAGAGCAGTGTGGATGTTGAAAATTATAAAAAGAAGTCTCGCTTCCTAGAGAGTACACTTGTAGTCTGTTTTAGTGTTGTCAGTTGTTGAGTTCAGATTTCAATCGCTCCAACTTCGCAGCCTCTGTTAGTTTTGTCACGGACCTCAGAAGACATTACTCTCTCCAGGTTCTGTGCATGGGCAACGCGTTCAGTAGGTTTTAGTTTCTGCTGGTTGCTGTCTTGGCTGCCTTCCTTCAAAGTACCACACTCCCTGTCCTTGGCTACTGCAGGAAGAGCAGACACAGGCTCCCGTGAGCACCTCTGCGTCTCCTGTCACAGCAAACGAGAATCTGCTGACTGCAGGCTTAAGGAGAAAAGACAAGATAAACCGCTTCCTCGGTTCTGCGTGTTTAATGAGAGTATGGACGGCTGTGTCTCAGTACTTTCTAAAGCTATAGACTTCCGGCGTTGACTGTTAGGGATGGATAATTGGAAAAAACGGGTCGATTTTCTTTTCAAAACATATTCATCCAGGTGGCTCATATCCGAGCAGAAAGAGACATTTTGGTGGAAGCAGACGGTGCCTGGGTGGTGAAGATGTTCTACAGTTTTCAGGACAAGCGGAATCTCTATCTGATCATGGAATTTCTTCCTGGAGGTAAATTACAGCAGCAGGCAGACCTGAGCTCACGTGCAAATGTGATAAGTTCTTCTGCATGTGCAGTAATAATGCCAAGTAGTTTTACTACTGAATTTTATTGAGTTTTTTTTTTTTTTTTTAATACATAGCCATCATTTTTTCAGTATTTACTTCCAAAATAATGGAAGATGATTCGGCCACAAATCATGTAATTTTGAAGGACTGTTAGGATGACATTTTGTATGGTACCATTTTGTGTTCATTGCAGCCCACTGTAGAGTTAAGGGAAAAGAGCCTGTACCCAGAAAGACAGAATTCTGGTTTCTAGGTGTCCCTGTTCACCCTCTGTTCTGCCCCTGATAACTTCACATGCTCCCCAACAACAGCACTGCATGCACTTTGCGGTTGGTTTGGGGTGTTCTGGGCAAGTCTCACACCAGCAGAGATTAAAGCTGTTGACCCCTGTGGGGGATGTGAGAAATCAGGGCGGATGCAGGAGGAGAGGTGAGCTGCCTCCCCATCTGCAGTACCTTGGTCCTTTGCCTTGTCAGGGGACATGATGACGTTGCTGATGAAGAAGGACACCTTGACAGAAGAAGAGACACAGTTCTACATCTCAGAGACTGTCTTGGCCATCGACGCAATCCACCAGCTGGGCTTCATCCACCGGGACATCAAGCCGGACAACCTTTTACTGGATGCCAAGGCATGTGAGATGTGAGGAGCAGCAGCATCCTTAGGCGGTTCCTGCTGGTTCCCTGGCTGCACACAGCAGCCATGGCTTAGGATGTTTTGGGGCAGCTACGTTTTTTCATAGTCGGTACCCAAGTGACTGTTCTGGAATAACATCATGGGAAATGGCTTAAAAACAAAAGCTCCCTGGTTTCCATTTTTAAAAATCATCCTCAGACATGCGTAGTCTCACATTTTTAGCTGTGTGTGTTTTAAGGATTTTTATAATAATTGCACCAAAGGAGATTATATTAAGGATTTTTTGTTCTCAGGGGTAATGTAACTTGACTTCACTGGAATTTGTTGTTGTTTTAGGGACATGTAAAATTATCTGATTTTGGTTTGTGCACGGGGTTAAAGAAAGCGCACAGGACTGAGTTCTATAGAAACCTCTCGCACAACCCGCCGCCAAGCGACTTCTGTAAGTTTGCATTTTTCCCTTTGGTTGAAGTTCCGTGGCTTGAAACTTTAGTTCTGTGAGGAATTGAGCTCCCTCCTCCCCCCTGTCCCCGTCTCCCCCCCCTCCCCGTCCCCCTCCCCCTGAGCTGCCCGAGCTTTCCACGTAGGTGTGCAGTTTTATGTTTTGTTGGTTTCCCCTCTGATTGCCGTGGCGTCCTGTTGGAATCAGCGTTTCAGAACATGAACTCCAAGCGGAAAGCAGAGACGTGGAAGAAAAACAGGAGGCAGCTGGTGAGTTCTGAAGACGCTGTCCCACGCTGGCCCCACGCTGGCCCCACGCTGTCCCACCCTGTCCCCCACTGGCCCCACGCTGGCCCACGCTGGCCCCGCCTGGGCACTGGGAAGGTGCCCTCCTTAGTAGCTCTACCTCAGCAGGTGGACAGGGACGGGCCCTCCTTGGCTCACCTGTGCTTGACCCGAGGACTTAGGGTCAGCAAAGGTCGACTGAGACAGTGACCCCAGAGTTCATTTTCTGCAGCCAGTGAAGACTAAAGATGGACGCTTGTGGGTGTGAACCGAGCAGCAGCGTGTTGTGAAGGAGGGTGGAGTGGCGTGCGGGTTCCTGAGGGAAAAGGCTGTTGAGGGATGTCAGGGTTGTGGCACACACCAGTTGCTGAGGTGGCCCGTTCTCTGGGCTGTCATGGGCTGAGCCTGTGGAGGACCACACGGCCTCTTCTCCCTGGCCCACCAGGAGCTGGTCATGGGTTCTTCACATGCTGCCCACCCATGTAGTTGGGGTTGAAACCTCTCTCTGTCTCTAACTCCAGCTTCATTAGTTATTGCCAGTCACTGCCGGGCACTTGACCAGCCTGCTGCCCTCCACTTCCAGGGATTACACGAAGGTGTTTGTTCCCACAGCCACAGAAAAGAAAGGCAGTTATGCTTGGTGAAGTGTCTGCGGGGTGGGGCCTGAGACAGGCGTGGTTTTCTTGGAGCTGTCTCCACCTAAACTGTAAGTTAGAAACAAGCAGAAAGGAGAGCAGTAAAGCCCAGCTAACATTCCCGGAGGAGAGGTCTCCTGGGGCCGCCACCACCAACACCAGCCTTTCTTTCAGATCCTAAGTCTCTTTACCAGGCCCTTGGCTATCGCATAACCAGCTGCAAGCTCTGGTTCTCTCTAGTGTCTCTGATTTGGCTGTTTGCACTTGGGTGGCTTCTGCAATAGCGCCCCCGTTGAGAGCTGCTGACTGAGAATGATTTTGTAGGATTTGATGTGGATTGAGGAGGAAGGTGCACAGAGCTCCTGACATAAGGCGCCAGAGTTAAGTTCTGAGGAGGGCAGCCTGCAGAGCGTGCCTTCTTGTTTCAGCCTCACATCAAGCTGTAGGTTCTCCTACCTGGATCTCTGGTGAGGAGATAGGCCGACGCTCAGAGAGCAGCTCACACGAGTAGTGAGCAGCAGTCAGGCCCGCTGGATGCAGCCTTTTCCTCTTGCAGTGGGCGAAGGGCCTCTCCTCGGCCCAGCATCCTGTGTCCTATGCGCAGTGCCTGGCTCCGCACACGTCACTCAGTCTTACGTGTAACACACAGCGTCACCAGCAAGGGAGAGCTTGTCCTGTGTCCAGCGTTCCCTCCTGTCCTAATCCACACTCAGATTTTGTTTAAGAGGTCGGAGTGCCAGTTTGACAGGCTGCTCCTTTGTAGGCATACTCCACAGTCGGAACGCCAGACTACATTGCTCCGGAAGTCTTCATGCAGACCGGCTACAACAAGCTGTGTGACTGGTGGTCCTTGGGAGTGATCATGTATGAAATGCTAATAGGTGGGTCCTGTTTACATGGATGATACATACCCCTGTCGGGGCCATTGTTAGAACACACTACAGCTGTTAACAGACAAAAATAGCAGAGCTTTGGAATCTATTCTCCCATTCTTCAGTGCTACTGATAAATAAACTGCCCAGGGACCCTGTGACTGCCTTTATCAAATTGCAAATGCAGGGTTCGGATAAGAGGAAGCAGGGCCCTAACCCCCATGGACTTCACTAGTAATTTTATAGTAAACCAGTTCCCATAGTAAGCTGGGGCTTCAGAACTGTGGTTCTTTGGTCCCTTGTGGCATGGACTTGTAGATAATTTCTGTTTCCCTGACACCCAGGCTTCCCACCTTTCTGCTCCGAGACACCTCAGGAGACATACAGAAAAGTTATGAGCTGGAAGGAGACGCTGGTGTTTCCTCCAGAAGTGCCGGTCTCTGAGAGAGCCAAGGACTTGATTCTCAGGTTAGTGAGACAGGAGCTGGTGTCTGCAGGGAGAATGCTGCAGATCTTGTCAGTTTTAAAAAAGGATTTGCAAAATTCAAACTTAAAAAAAAAAAGATTTTATTTATTTTTATGTGTAGGTGTGTGTGTGTACCACTTGCTCGTGGAAGCTAGAAGAACCCTTGGAACTCTACTTACAGGCAGTTGTGAGCCTCCTAGTGTGGGTGCTAGGGATTGAACTCAGGTCCTCTGCAAAAGCAGCAAGTACTTTTAACTACCGATTTCTCCTTCCCTACAAAATGCAAATGCTTTAAAAGAAGTTTGTGGGAAAATGGGGTTGAGACGAGAGAAGAGGTCTTATTGGACATACTGGTGCGATTAGCAAAGTGTCAGGTCTGTTAGACTTCAGGGACTCTGTGTGTCAGAGACAAAAGGAGGGTGTATATATTAGAAGCAGAAGCCCCTGCCGTGAGTCTCAGGCATCCAAGCAGAGGACGGCGGGAGGAGGTGGCTCAGTACTTCTGTGAGGGGAGGAAAAGTTATCATAACGAGCCTTTTTCCGTCCCTCTGGCCAGCTCCCAAATAATGACGGAGAGACTCCTCGTTAATGAAAGCTCAGCCTGTAGCTTAGGCTTGTTCCTAACCAGTCCTCATAACTGAAATTGACCCATTTTTATTCATCTGTGTTCTGTCCTGTGGTGTTACCTCTCTTCCTTTGACCAGCAATTTTATTTCTAGGAAGTTAATAGGTCATATCACCATGTAGTAGCAAAGAGTTAGGCGTGTTTCTTGTGTTGTTTTAGTTGTGAAAAACTGGAACTTACCTAAGTCTTCAGCAGCAGCGATGGATGTAACACTCCGATGTCTCCACACACGGGTCTCAAAAAATTACCTTCACAGGAAATACTGAACAGCATTGGGGAGTTTTCTTAGTATATTAAGTGAAAAAAGTCTTAAACTGGTCACTACCAGGCGAGCAGCGCTAGCATATTATTATTACAGGGGATGAAAAGAAGTCACTGCGGTGTCTGGGGATCCGAGTACTAGGGCTGTGGGTGATTTGTACTTCCCCGTGCTTCCCCGATGAACTCAATAACTAAATTCAGACGCTTTCTAAAAACACTCGAAGAGATACGTTAGAGCGCTGTAAGTGAAAATGTGGCTGATAATTGGTTTCCCTTTCTAGATTTTGTACTGACTCTGACAACAGAATTGGGAATGGTGGTGTGGAAGAGATCAAAGGTCAACCCTTCTTTGAGGGTGTGGACTGGGGGCACATAAGGTACGTCCTGAGGCCGGGCTCCTGGATCGGTGGTTAGTGCACCTCTGAGTCTTGTAGACCGGAAGTTCTCAACCTGTGGGTCACGGCCCGTTTGCGGGGTTGAACAACCTTTTCACAGGGGTCGCCTAAGGCCATGGGCAAACACGTTCATAACAGCAGCAAAATTTACCATTTTGAAGTCGCAATGAAAATAGTTTTATGGCTGGGCACACAGCATGAGGAAGCGTAGGTATTAAAGGGTCACAGCGATAGGAAGGCTGGAGCCTGGCTGCCTAAGCTCACGTGCTAGTTAGGGACAGGAGAGGCTGGGTCACAGAGGCCAAGGTTGTGGCTCTTTCCACTCTGTTGAGTCTTAACTCGGCTTCCCGAATCATCATGCCTGGGTGTAGAAAGTCTAGATAGGACACCATGGACAAGATGTTGTTAAGAGCTTACCTCAGGGTGAGATGAGAAATGTATGGTATATACTCTTGAAAGTCCTGGGCACGCAGTGCCTCTAGGGAAGGCACATACTTAATTACTTAATTTAACACTTAATTAAATACTTAATTACATAACTTAAGTAAGTAACCCTTAAGTTAAGAATAATTATTGTATGGACATGGACAGTGTGTGCTTTTTCATAACGTGGTAGGCTTAGCACCTCATAGATCCTTTAAAAATTTGTTGAAAAAAGTAAATAAAAGCTGATAAGGGGCCTTGGGGTGATTTAGCAGCAAAAGCTTGAACATCTGGGTTCAACCTGCAGTCCGCATGGTAGGAGGAGATATGACCTCTACAGTTGTGTGTGTGTGTGTGTGTGTGTGTGTGTGTGTGTGTGTGTGTATGTGTATAACCTAAGTTTTAAATATAATTTAAAATTTTTAAGTGGTAGAGCCAAATGTTGATGATGCACGCCTTTAGTCCCAACACTTAGGAGGCAGAGGCAGGCAGATCTCTGTGAGTTCAAGACCAACCTGGTATACAGAGCGAGTTCCAGGACAGGCTCCAAAGCTACAGAGAAACCCTGCCTCGAAAAACAAAACAACAACAACAAAAAAAAAAAATGTTTAAAATGATAGTTTCTTTTAACTGTTTCCATAGTTAAATGTATTTACTATAATGAGGCATTTTTTGTGGAGGTGTTTTTTTAAACTAACCTCTCTGATTCTCTTAAATTTTGTATGACTGACAAGTTTGTCCCTCCCTCTTTTGCAGATAGACGTCTGTGTTCACTAACCCTCACTAGAACTGTAGCCCTGACTCACTTAGGTCGATCTCATTGTCTCCCACACACTCACTCACTATCACCATAAATCTCCGTACGGTGCCTTCTCTGAGCCAGGCTGCTGACACACACCCTTAGTCCTGGCACTCGGGAGGCAGGTAGATCGCTGGGTTCAAGGCCAGCCTGGTCTACAGAGCGAGTTCCAGGACAGCCAAGGCTACACAGTGGAACCCTGTCTCAAAAAACTGATAACGATGACAACATCAACCAAAAAAAAAAAAACAAAAAACAAAAAAACACCAAAATTCCTTCTCTCCTAATTTTCCTTTCATTGGGTCTTGTTTGTTCACCTAAAAAGAGAAAGTCCTTATCTCAGTGGCAGAGTATTTGCCCAGCTGTTGTTCAGCCTGCAATCCTGTGGGGGGACGGAGCATGGGAAAGTCTTCATGCAAACGGGTACAGCTTTCAAGTAAATGAAAACACTATAGTGGAAAATCACTCAGCCATCTTGGCACCCTCTTAGCTGTGTTCAGGTGCATAGCAGGCCTCTCCTGTCCCCTGCAGTGGTGGGCAGGGCTTTCAAGAATGGCTTGGTGGACAGTGAAGAGTTAAGGAAACTTACCTTTTCCAGGGAAAGGCCGGCAGCCATCCCTATAGAAATCAAGAGCATTGATGACACCTCAAACTTTGATGACTTCCCTGAGTCTGACATCTTACAGCCAGGTAAGATGGGTCCACAGCAGAGCCCACATGCCAGTCACCTGCGAGGTGACAGACATAAGTGCTAGCCAGGTCCCTCTGCCCTTCGTTAACTCTTCTCTCTCTCTCTAGCGCCGAACACCACAGAGCCCGGCTACAAATCCAAAGACTGGGTTTTCCTCAATTACACCTATAAAAGGTTTGAAGGGCTGACGCAGCGCGGCTCCATCCCCACATACATGAAAGCTGGGAAGTTATGAGTGGCGGTCACAGTCACCCACCGCCAAAACTCAGGTAGCGGCATCTCCAGGCTGGACATTCCCGAGGACGCTGGCGCTCCCCCGCCGGAGGGACTTCCACAGGGTCGGATTCTGAGAATACTACGGGGAATGTTCGGCTTTCCTTCCTTTTTTTTTTTTTTTTTTTTTAAATATTTTATTATTTGCATTAACTTTATCATACAAAGGTACTGGACGTCCCCTCCTATCTGCACGGTCTGCGCGCATGCTGAGGCCCATCCTGCACACGTGCGGAGCTGCCAACCGCAACACTAATCCAGCCAGAGCTGCATAGCACCGACCGCGCCGTGGCAGCCCACGGTCCTCACCCTTGGGGTCCCTGCTTCGCTGCACAGCTCGTGGGTCTTGAATCAGTAAAAAAAAAAAAAAAAAAAAAAAAAAAAAAAAAGCCATGTGTAGCCGCTGTTAGAACCCTCGCCCTGTCGGTTTGGACACTGTAGGCTCTACGTGAAGACAGTCTCTGTGACAGTCCTGAGGAGCTGACTTCAGCGTTACGAATTTCCCGTAAGAGAGGGGAGGTGGGCTTCTGCTTCTGCCAGGGTGAGGACATGTCTCGCCTTCTTCACTCCAGCATCTTCCAAGGCTGACTTCGCTGAGAAGTAGGGACGGCTGCTTTTTTAGACACACAGAGAGGTGTACCACTGTGTTTGAGCAAATGTCACTTATTTTTCTTGTGACACAAGGACTCCTTTTATAGTAAGAGGACAGGCATTATTTTAACTGGGTGATGGTGAGTTGCGTTTCAGAAATGGCCATGAAAGCTGCTTGTAGAGCCTAGTGTATTTTTATTAAACTATTTTTTTTTAAATGTCGAACTTCTGATCATGGAGGACAGCGTGTGATTGATTCCCTCTGACTTTCTGCGAACTTGGTATGTGTCGCTGCTGGTAGGTAGCGTTGTGTTGTCGTCCGCTAAACCAAAGACCCAGAACATGGCAGGGAGTGGAATTCCGCTTTCCAGAGGGTGCTGCACCCCGCATGCACGACAGACCTCTGAAGAGGCCAGCCCTGTTCATGGTTGGCTCATCACTGTGTCAAAGCCCCCCTCCTGCCCCCCAGTGGAGTAAAAGGAAGCTGACGGCAGGAACCGGCAGGAACCGTCAGCATCTGATTCTGGGGCAGGAACCGTCAGCGTCTGATTCCCTGAGTGGTTCCCTGATGGTTACATCTTTTCTTGCTCAAAGTTTTAATTCTAAAACAACTTTCATCTCCTAAGTCGTAGTTGAGAAGTAACTTCTCAGAAAATGGTGAATATTTATCATCAGTGATGGAGGATGGAATGAGGATTTATTGGGGGGGGGGAATAAATGTCTCTCCTGAGGAGACTGCAGATTTCCTGAAGCTTTTTTGTTTTAACATTGCTGCTGGACAGCCCCTCTTTCATCGAGGCCTTGGGCTCTTGAAGTATGTTGGTGAATCGCTGGGTCTGGGGAATACCAACCACCTGTCAGCCTCCTGGCTCAACCGTAGCCTGTGACTGAGAGTTGGAGCAAGCATCTCACTGATGACTTTAATGAGCTGCCTTAATTTATACGGGGTGTGTGAGCTTCTCCAGCTCACCTGTTTCAATGCAGCAGGGCGCCCCCCCCACACACACCCCGCTGTGGAATGGGACTTTACTAGAGTGGGGTGACCAGGTTCAGGGTCAGTGTGGAGGTCTTGCTGCATTCTCTAGCTCGGGTACAGTGTCTACCTAACGGATGACCGCGTTGCCAAGCTCAGGTGAGCAGCGTAGATTGAGAGAAGTGTAAAGAAGCATTCCCCAGTTCATACCTCGCGGTGTAACCTCCCTGCTGTAATCGGGAGGAGGCGCTGAGGCGCAGGCTTCCTGGTAGTGGAGGGTGTTTGGGAAGTTTGCTTTGCTGGATTTAACACAAGATTCCGTAGTAACTAAAGACTGTGCCTTGCCTGCCCCTCGGAAGCTAAAAATATGAGTCGTGGTGCAAATTAAGCAAATAATTTGCAAAGATTCCACGAGACTCACTTTTTCCCATTATATATCCCCCGTATCTTGGGGGGGGATTGTGTAATTTAAGTGACAAAGGCCTGTCTAATCACTGGGCATAGCGACAGACATTTTCTCTGGTCTCTATTTTGAATCAAAGTTTTACCATAAGCTATGTGATTTGGGTTTTTCTAAGAGTATAGAAAGTGTGTATAATCCAAATGTATTTCCTGTTTTAATTTCAGTCTCTTTCATTAAAACCTTTGTGTTAAAGCAGTTTTTAACAGTTACGTCTGCAGATGTGTGAAACTCTAGGCTGTCCAGAAGCAGTGGCCACTTAGCCATAGATCAGCTGTTAGTTTAGTGGCAATGCCAGCTGTGGGATATTAAAAATATTCTTTGGTTCCTCAGGCTTAAGATAGGGATCATTTATTCCTGTAACAGCATAGCTTTTTAACACATGCATAACTTTGTACAAGCTGTACATTTTTAAGTATTTTGAAGCATATTTTGGTGTTTTGGTGTGGAAGACCTTAGGAAGTCTTTGCTGTCAGGAGTTACTTGAGGGTTAGAAAAGAGTCCCGGGCGGGCCACCTGATACATCCTCTCTTTGAATTGTTAAAACCTGGAAAATTCTAAAGCAAGTGTGCTGCTATGATGACAGTTATTTCTCATTTTATTTCAAATCCATTTTCTCTGTAGAAGTGCACTTATTTCTGAAAAATCTTATGGAGCCAGCACTTAATAAATATAAGACATTTGGCACTACTAGAAATATTTTAGGTTTTTATTACAAAATATGAGCAGACAATGCTGCTTTAAAAGGAAGAAATAAATAAAAGTGTATTGTAGTTATTTTTTTAAAGCAGTATCATTCAGCAGTTGTCCAGAACTGTCCAGCTTCAGAGTTTTGAAGGCTGTTGGGCAGCAAGAAATCATAGTGAGACTAAGAACCATGTTTCTGAGCGCTCTGCTGTGGGATTTCTGTCTGTCTTTCCTTTTTTCTGTTTTTGGTTTTTGTTTGGTTGGTTGGTTTTGGCTTTTTGGTGTTTTGTTTTGGTTTTGGTTTGGTTTCTTGTTCGCAGATTGGTGTTATCCAAAACTAAAATACTATTTTGTGAATGAAATTACCAAATAGCTCTTACACCCGAAGTTCACATCACGAGAAGGTTAAGTATTTGGAGTTTGAATTGTATTACATTTAAACAATCAAGACAGCTGAATAAGTCTGTTTTAAGTTGCTCAGGTCCGTGTCTGAAAACATGCACCTTTGTAAGTTGTCATTTGTAGGGACTTGCGGGGCGTGGATCTGATATGCAGCCCCTCCAGTGAGTCAGAACGTGAGTGTATCACCTGAAGATCCTCATGAGTTCAGAGTTAAAATGTGGAAGCCCACAAAGAGCCAGGCGGAATCCCCTGTGCCCCAGGCAGCCCCACTCCAGCCTGGCTGAGATCCACGGTCCCCAGCACACACCATTTCAGGGATGCTGTTGTGAGAACTTCCGGAACACAGGAGGTCGGGATTTGAGGAGAGCAAACGTGCAGACTCTCTCTGACAAGTGTCCAGTGAGACAGTGTTGCTTTGTCCTCGGTCAGAGAGAGCCTGATGGCTCAGACTTAACCAGTCCTCATACAACTTCAAGGCTCAAGTTTTTAAGAGAAGCTGGGGTTGCTGAAAGACACCTGAGCAGTCAAGAGCGGGCGTCGCTCTCACAGAGGACCCATGCCAGGTGGCTCACAGCTACCCGTAAACTCCAGGGGATCGGGTGACTGGCATCTGCAGGAACACACACACATAATTAAACATAATAAAATCTCTTTGCTGGAAGGTGCCGCCATGTGTTACTTACTGGCTGTGATCTGTTAATTAACTGGTACCTGGCCTGGCGGGTTGACTTAGGATTCATGTTCTAGTACCAGGGTGGACCTCATTACACATCCATGGGTACCCGAGACCAAATTGGTGTTCTTCTAAGGATCTAAAATGTGCTATAGACATCTGCAAGCCAGGTCTGGATCCACGGTGAGACTCCAAGGAGAGGAGTCTGTCAGGGCCAGTGAGCTGCAGGCCAGGCCTGGCCCACCTGCAAGGCTGGAGCCCTGACAACCGCTGTGCTGGGCTGCTCAGATCCCAGGGGAGTCCCCGAAGTGGATCATTTCCTCTTGTGCATGTGCGTTCCCAGCCGCTGTCCTCAGAGATGCATTCCCTCTAAAATGTTTATGAAGAAATACAGAGTTCCACGCTTAATTCCTAACCCAGCCAGGGTGGGTGTTCCAACTACTCTTGACTCAGGTACTGTGTCTACATTAGGAAGGAGGGTATTCACTAACCTTTTCACTGAAACATCTGTGGTCCCTTCCCTAGGGTGAAACTTAACAGGAGACGCCGACTGCTTGGGGCCTAGCTTTGACTGTAGGTGGTCTTGCTGGTAGAGTATCGTCTTGAGCAAAACTGGAAGTTTCCACTTTAGGAGGGACCAGAACACCGTGGCTGATTTCAGAGTGTCCAAACCCTGGAAAAGTATTAATTATTTGGAATTTGGATGCACACATCTCTCTCTCTGTCTCTGTCCCTCCCTCTCTCTATCTCCCTCTCACACACATAGCCCTTTATGACGACTCCCTCATTCTTTCAAAAGAAAAACTTTACATTTGTATGTGTGGGTTTGTATGTCCCCAGAGAGCAGAAGAGGTCTTCAGGAGTTCACAGGTAGTTGTGAACCTGCCCAGAGTGAGTGCCGGGCCCTAACTCTGTCCTCAGGAAGAGCAGGGTTTGCTCTTAACCACTGAGCCCTATCACAAGCCACATTGCCTTGCTCTTGCCGACCATGGCTTTCTCCGGACTTTAATGTTCTTTTGCTTAGAGAAATCATCTCCCCTTCCCCTACCCACCACCTAGACGTAGTAAATTTACGTTTTCAACGAAGCACTGCATCCTGGTGTAGGGTGTTCGGCAGCCAGGGCTTACTTGAAAGAACTCGGTAGTGTTAGTGTGTCTCCCTAAGAACAGAACCAGACTCTTCTGACTGGGTTTGGGGCTACTCTCCAGAGTGTGTGATTTGTCGCTTGTTGGTTATCGTGAGAACACTATAGAATGTAAGAGGGTGTGTGCAGATGGTCGGAAGCACAGGGAGCCCCGCACAGGATAAGCGCTGGGCTGCTCGACTTTGTACCCACCACCACCAGTTTCAAGGTGTTTTGGCTTTTAATAAAAACAACTCCAAAACATTGAAAGACAGAATGAAGCTTTGCCGAAGTTGCTTAGGTTAGCAAGCAATTCAGGGTGTGCACTACCCAACAGGACTCCCTAAACATACCCTTTAAAGGGGTCTTCCTCCAATCCCTCTGTACCCTCCAGTTCTCTCCTCTGCCTTGAGCGATCGGACCACTCTTCACTCCCAATGTCTTCTCTGCCACAACCTCTGCCTTTGGTCAAACCCAAGCCCATGGTTTTATCCCAGAAGCCCACAGTGGGTCTGTGTCTGTCGGTCTAGACGCGCAGAGGAATTGTGCCCCCATTCCCCATACTGTCCTCTGGACCCACTGCACAAGCCCAGGAGTCCCCAGGGTTCCTTCCAGGACTGCCGCTGGAGGCAGAAGGGAAAGGTCGTTTTAGGTGTTATCAACCTCTTCAACCTCTTTTAAGAGCTCAAAATCGGGTATTTGTTATTTTTACGAACCTTGGGAAGTATCTTAGGCAAAATTAACCATGCTGTTGCTTGAAGGCAGTTGTTGGGAAAGGTCCCAAACATGGTTGTAGAGTGGACTCCTCCTTCCCAGGTGGGCAAATAAATACTGGCTCTGCCTTGGAAGCTGCTCTTAACGGGATTTTTAGCAAGGAGGCGAAATTACTGCCCCCTAGAGGTGAACAAGGGTTCCTGCCACACAAGGCCGTTCTTGGGCTCTGAGCTGGGAACCAACAAGTGTTGACCAGAAAGTCAACCAGAAAGAACGAGCCGGGATTCTGTGTATTTGGGTTTCAAGTCTATTTTCTCAAACATTTTCTAAGGAGAGAGTTAAGGGATTCTCTTGGCTAGAAATGAGAAATCACGTTTCTGTCTTTAAGACAGGATCTCACGCAGCCCTGGCTCGCCCTGAACTCACTCTACAGCTGAGCAAGGGAGACCTTGAGCTGCTGATCACCCAGCTTTCAACTCTCCAGCACCGGGACTGTGTATATGCACCGTCACTATGGCTCTATGGGGTTCTGAAGATCAAACCGCATCCCCAGCTCTCCCTACACCCCTCAGCTTCTGTGGATTGAAGTGAGACAGCCTCAGCCCAGGCTGACCTCCAGAAGGACTTGCAGCCTAGGTAGCATAGACCACCACCACATAATCCTCCTACCCCTACCTCCCAAGTGCCAGGATTACAGGTGTGAACCCCAGCGAGGCTTTTACAGAATGAACCCCGTCTAGAAAGAAAGTAAAGCTTGCAGGCAACCCCAATTGGTGGGGGTGGGGCACTAGGCAGAGAGCGGCCACCCCAAGGAACCCCGCCTTGCCTAGGCCCTCAGCTGCCTGCTTCCTGGGGGAGAGGGGGATGGCTGCATTCTTTGTTTTCAGGCGCCAGGTGAAACGAACCTTCATTTGAAGGAAGTGAGGCCTGTGCTCACTCACAGGCAAGCCCCTTGGGCGCCATGCAGGGTACGAACTCTTGAGGAGACCTGACCTGCGACCTCCTTCCTGTTGTCTATGAAGGACCTTGCCAAAATACTCATTTAAAAAAGAAGAAGAAGGAAACTTGGAGTATACTCACTGCACATGGTTTCCTAAGGACATTGTCATCCAAGTATGTAAATTACTTGGATCACACTCTGTCATCCCTCTGCTATCAGTTCCCTTTGACCCTGTAGGCCGTTTGCTGTCTCTACACACATGCCGAGAAATGTAGGGTCCACGATATTTTTCTCAGTTAACCCAGACTTGATTTGCTCAATACGATTAGGGTCCAGTGGGGTCGTACTGTGCATAGAAACCACATTTCCCCTTTCATCTGCTGACAGTCACAGGTTGGTGGCAAAGCTCGTCTATATGAGGGTTACAGTACACGCGTGTCTCTGTGCTGTGTTCACTCGGCGGTAGCTGGGTCATCTAGATGCTTCTCTATGCTGAGGTCCACAGTGGCTGGGCTGGTTAGCTTCCCACCAGAAGTGCATTGTCCACATCCTCAATGTTTTCTGCTCTAACCCAGCTGGAATGTCTAAATTTGCATTTGTGAACACTTTTTCATGTTTTATGGCCATTTGTACCTCGTCTTTTGAAAGCTGACTATTCATTTCTTTAGTCAACTTATTGGCTTGACTTTAAAATCATGTGTTTGTGTGCTTTGCCTGCATGTAGTTATGTGTACATCTGGAACCTGTGGAGGTCATGGATCTCCCTGACCCTGGAGTTCTGGTTGTAAACCTCCCTGTGGGTGCTGGGAACCGAACCTGAGTCCATGGCAAGAGTCTCGGGTGCTCTTAACCACTGAGCCACCCCTCTAGCCCCTTGATGAGGTATTTTTTGTTTGTTTGTGTTTGCTTTTCATTTCTTGGCGTTTGGTCTTCAGGATTCTTTATGTGTGTAAATATGAAACCTGTCAGATGTTTAGTTAGTAAAGATTTCCTCCCATTCTTCAGTGTTCATGTTGATTGAGCCTCTCCCCCACTGAGCAAACAGGAATGAACAGGAAGTTCTTTCAGCTACTGCGGTGGCTGAGGGAGTGGCTGGATGACAGGGGTTAAAAACGGCCATTGGGGCTCTGAGAGAGGTTTTGATGGGTGGGTGTCTTTGTGTGTGACAGGCGCTGAAGCTCGGGAACCAGCTCGCACAGCGTGGTAACTAACAAGGGCCGCACCTTCTGCCCTCTGGACCCAACTGTAAGAGTCTGGGACTGCGACCTTGGAGATCCAGGTGGCTCGAGCCAAACCTTGGCGTTGTCACTATTGCGGCTTTACCTGGGCAAACTACCCAAGGAACCCACCTGGCGCCCAGTGGGCTGGAGCCAGTCCGTGCGTTCTGAGGGTACTGCCGTAGGATGGAGGGAGGTCTAGAGCTCCACGGAGCCTTGATGGCATGCGTCCCTAACTGTTGCAGGAGTCCCCGAGACAGCTGTCGACACCCACACCCGAACGCCCACAGCTAGGCGCTTGCCTAGAGCCAGAAAAGGGCCGGGCCCATGGGCGTGTCTTCCATGCACCACGCCGGGGTCTCCCCTGCCCACCTCTTGCAAGCCTTTCCGCGGCCTCCCGGGGCGTGCCGGCTGCAGCCTGTGGGCTCGGGCTGTCGGCTGAGGCTCCGCCTGTGCGGGTGCCTGGTCCCGCCCCGGGCGGCGAGGGCTGCCAGGGCTGCGGTGGCCGAGTCCGCGCCCCGCTCCGGGTGCGCCCGGATCGCACGGGGAGTCGCGCGGCTGCGGGGCGCGCGATGACGGCAGCCAGGGCCGAGGCGCCAGGTGAGTGAGTGGCTTGCGGGGACCGCGACGCCGCCGGGGGTCCCCGATGGCGAGCCAGGACCCCACCCATTGCGGGAGGACCCTGATGGCGAAGCCAGGACCCCACCCCAGGCTGGGGGCTCCCGCACGTCTCCGCCGGGCTCTCATCTGAACGCAGCGCAGGTGCAGCGCTTCGGGGGCTGAGTCCCGCCCGGGTGTGGGGTCGGGTCCCGGCCGCGCCCTGAAGAGGGTGAGCGCGGAGCCCGGCGTCTGCGTGTTCTGCAGCCCGCGGCTCGGGTTTGCTCCTCCCTGGAGGGAGCGGTAATCTCGTCACAGCCTCGGTAGTGAGGCGAGCAGTGGACTTGCAGGGGTGGTGGTGGTGGGGGAACAGCTCCTTATCTTCCGGGGCCAGGGGTCGAACCCAGGACTCCAGGCCGGCGCCGGCGCCTGCTCCTTTTCGTTCTGAGTCTTGCTGGGAAGTTTTGCCTAGTTTGTCCTCAATTGCTCTCAGCGGTAAAACTTGGAGGTGTCTTCTCTGGAACACTGCGGACAATACTTCACAGAGGATAATCGTAAAAAGCTGTTCTTTAAGGAAGGTGGGAGGTAGAGGGGGAAAATAAGTAAAAAACAGGCACAGAAGTCAGGACGGAGTTATTTTGATCGCCTGGCTGACTGATTTCTTGCTGTGTAGTCCTCGGCTGGCCTGGAGCTTGCTGGAAGACCATCTTAACCTGGACTTGCATCCCAAGTGCTGGCTGCAGGCTTGTCTCAACACGACCGGTGTAAATTTAATAAACCGTGGGGATGTCTGTGTGTGGCTTTTCAGAGGCTTTGTGTGATCCCTCCCACTCCGAGCTCTGCCTCACTCTCCTCTGGGAGCCTTGGTTTCCTCTCTGTAAAATGGGGCTAATACAGCCTCGATGGTCGATGGTGGCAGCTGTCAGGATTAACAAGCCCAAGTCCCGGGGTGGGGGGCCGGGGAGTGGGGGTGGTGTCTCCGAGAGCATTAAGTAACCACACCTTTTAGTTTAAGGACATTTGTGCATTCATTCCACTACGCAAGAGTCATCTAAGTGTGTCGACAGATGGGCTAACACTACGCAAATCTGGGCTTGTTTGGTTACAAGAAAGTGAAAATTGGTAACTAAAACCCCAAACGAAACGTATCAGACACCAGGGCCCATGCTATTTTTACCTGCATTAGGAACTGGGTGTTCACTGGGAAACAAAAAGTCTAAAATATACTGCTGCTGGGACAGTAGGACAATCCAAGTTTGGCTTACGTTGTATGAAAGAATAAAACAAACCTTACAACCACAGGGCTGTTTTGAAGGTGTCCACAAAAAGTGAGGTAGCACAAACACAATTGCTTGCTGACTTGTCATGAGCCCAGATTAAGCCTGATTGCCCAGCAGCTGTGCGTCTTCCCGGAATGGTTCCCGAACCCTTGGAGCTAGGGAGAGGGCCCACAACTGTAGTGGCTTAAATTTGTGCTTGTGACTCACAAACCCAAACTGGTGTCCCATTCTGCTTTGCATAAGCAGCTCTTCCTGGCCCCGTGGCCTAGGCAGTTTCTTCCAGGAATGCCTGACATGAGCTAATCCAGGATGGGCTTGGGAAAGCTGCAGTTTCTTTTATGCATGGGATCTAGGTCATTAGTCAGCGCCAGAACCCACGCAGCAATATCCAGGACTCGGTGTTAGCCTGCATGGCCCAAGGGAAGATGGGCATCTGCCTGCCTGCCCTGCAAGGTTCCACTCTGCTTCCAGCTTCTAGCGTCCCCTGTGGAGGATGGGGCAATGGGAGCCTGCATCATGGGACCTCTGGGGTTGGGTGAGATGCAGGTGCTTGGTAAGGGCTGGAGAGAAGGCCCACATGTGAAGAGTGCCTGAGTTCAGTTCCCAGAACTCACGCAGTGGCTCACAGCCACCCTTAACCCCAGATCCAGGCGGTTTGACGCTCTCTTCTGGCTTCTGTGTCTCGGAGGGCGCACATGTGGTGCAGACACCTCCGTACAGGCAAAACACTCGGACACAAAACTCACACACAGTCTTGCAGAATATGTCGGGGTATTTTTTTCAGGGTTTGTATGTGTGTGTGTGTGTGTGTCTGTGTTTGTCTGTGTGTTTGTCTGTCTGTCTGTCTGTCTGTCTGTCTGTCTGTCTGCCTGCCTGCCTGTGTGTTTGGTGCTGTGGATCAAACCCCGGACCTTGTGGCTGCCAAGCTCATGTCTTACCACCCCTCCACTCCCAAGGCCTGGGGGATCTCACCAGACTCTGGAATCCTGGGCCACAAACTTCTTTTTTTTTTTTTCCCCGTGTATGTTTGCGGTAGAGATCTGTTTATGGAAAACCTTTGTTTACCAGCTGTGTGATTTTGGCTAAATTATTTGTTTCTCCGAGCTCCAGTCTCCTTATTTATAAAGCTGGGCTACAGATCCCTGACTCTGCAGGTGGTGGCGGTTGCGGAGTAATTGACTACAAACTCGCGGAGGATTCCAGCTTCCACACGTGCTTATTTTCCTTTTTCCTCATGGCCTTTTCCCAGGAAGTGGTCCCTACCACAGACGCCCTTCCTCATTCCTGTCTTCACATTGCAGCCTCCCCCGCCCCGCCCCCTCTGGGGGCAGCCTTTCTGCCGGCCACAAGTGTGTTGGTCTCATGCTGGTCCAAGGAGGGCAGTGGTCGCCTGTTCCACTGTAGCTCTTAAATGAATGAGACTTAAGATGTCCACAGGGCTGGTTCCCTCTCAACCGACCCATCAAGTGTGCACAAACGGTGAAAGCCAGAGTTCTGCCTAGAGAGCGCAGTTTTGGCCTCCGTCTGGCTGGACGTTTACATTCCTGACTCTTCTCCTTCCAAAAGTGTCGTGGTACAGAAGTGACTCAGAAGCAGGCTTAATCTGGCTCTCAGTCTGAGGGGACACAGCCCACCCCAGTGGAGAAGGCAGACAGGAAGTGTGACCTGGCAAGGCCCCACCTCCAAGGGGAACAGTGCCACCACCTGGGGATCAAGTGCTCAAACACGTGAACCTGTGGGGACATTTCACGTCCCAACCCCAGCAGAAACGGGCTGTGTGAGACCTGACAGTGTGTTAACAAGCAAAATCAACAGGGCTGACCACCGAGAAAGAGCCCCCCTGTCAAACGGGGGCGGCACTGTCTAATTTATGAAGAGGGGACACTCTAATACCCGTGGGTGGGTCTCGCAGAGGGGACAGACAGAACAGGAACAAAAACGGAAAATGGCGGGCAGGCTGGCGGGGGGCTGGAGGACGGGGCGGTCTATTCTTTGCTTTGAGTAGAATGTGGAGAAGGAAGGCCAGCTTTGCTGAGGTCGCCTTGCTGTGAGCAGTTAAGACTTCCCCTGCCAGGAGGAAGTTAACCCAGAAAGCCCTCTGGAGGGGCAGAGATTTCCAGCATTAAAGGCACAGGCATCTTTTATTTTGTGGTTCCTGGTTGGCAACAGCTTTCTCATCACTGTGGAATGGGGTGAGCTGGACCTGATGCCGAGGGAGAGGGCCGGAAAACAGAGGAAAGCCCTTGCACACACACAGGACGGGCTGGCCTCCCTCGCACACACACAGGGCGGGCTGGCCTCCCTCGCACACACACAGGGTGGGCGGGCCTCCCTCGCACACACACAGGGCGGGCTGGCCTCGCCTCCCTTGCACAGGCATCTTCCTCTCGTTTTCTTTTTTTCTGAAAAAGCAGCTACATACGTCTTTCAAGCTACTTCACACTCGGTCTTTCCGAAAGCATTCTCGGAACTATTAGTTTGTCCCCGTGACAGGCTTTTGGGAAGCAGGTGCCTGCCCCTCCCTGTCTGTCCACGTCGGGGGTCACACTGGCTCACTGCTGTCACCATGCCTGCCTTTCTTGTGTGGTTCTGGGGCCTGGGCACATGCTGGGAAAAGCAGAAAAACAAAAACACACATGGCACTCAAAGACCCTTCCCATGGCGCTCTGTGCGGCAGAGCTGGGACCCTCAGCCTTGACTTCTATAAACCAGGCGCCCGGGCCTTCAGGGTATGCTCCTGTGTGGGAACCCCCATCTGTGGTCAGGCCAGAGGCTCTGGGCTCACCGGTTACTTCAGAGCTGTGGCTGTGGTGCTACAATTGCATCTGTACTCTTAGCGTTCAAGAGGCAGGGGAATTACTACAAGTTTGAGTCTAAGCTAGGTGAGTTCAGAGGCTACTCTGGGCTACACAGAGATACCCTTTCTCAAACAGGAAACAACCCCAAATTCCCCTAGTATTTATGAACAAAATCACCATAGGCATCCCAACTCATCTTCATTTCGTAGATTTCGTAGTAGAAGGCTGTTCAGGACCCTGCATTACTATGCTCGGAGAAATGTCCAAGCCATGTGTGTCTTTCATAGGAATACAGATCTGGGAGCTGGAGATGACTCAGTCAATAACATGCTTGTAAGCGTGAGCACCTGAGTTTGATCCCAGAACTCACGGGGAGAAAGCCAGGTCTGACGGAGGATGCTGAGGATGTAGAAACAGAATTCCCAGGGCTTAGTCAACCAGCCTAGCAAACTCAGCAAGTTCCAGGACAGGGCCACTGTCTCAAGAAGAGGCGTTGTCACTCGAGGACACCTGAGGTTGTCCTCCGGCCTCCGCACACAGAAGAATCTGAGCACATATTATAAGATAGACATGGATTCCCACCCCATTTCTTCTTATTCAAAACCATATCACTACATTTCTCAGGCTGTCCTGGAACTCAGGATGTAGCCCGGCTCGGCTTTGAACTCCAGATCCTCCTGACGCAACCTCCCGGATACTATGACTACAGGCGTCCACATCTGGCGGTTCAGGTGTTTGAAGCTAGTATTCGATAGATGCAGTTGACGTTGACTGAACACTTGGGACAGAAGATGGTTGGGGCTGGAGGGATGCTCTGATGAAGTATTAGGCATGGCAACTCTGCCCTGGGTCAGCCCTCACTCTATACCAGCTCCTTGTTTGGAGATTTAAACTTCCTGTCTGAGTTTACATGGCAGCCAAAGGCCAGTTACACTTGTGTTACCATGGAGACAAATGGGGCCCACGCTCTAGCAGGCTCCCACGGCTTTAACTGGTCTCCCAGGCAACCACACTGACTTAGAGAGAAGAGGGACCAGACCCAGATTTTGCCTTGTGCCATGGCACTTCAGGGTTCCTTGGACATTAGCACTTAACGCTTCTTCAAAGGGTTTGCACTTTTCTTCTTTAAAATTTAAACTCGCTTATTTATTTTGTTGCTACGGACCGAAGAATCGTGCAGTGAGAGCTCAGCTGACAAAGCATTCGCTTTATGAACAGTCTCTGTCCTTACCGTAAATTCCCTGTGAAGCCATGGCGCTCCCTTCCTATGGTGGGATTCATCCCCAAAACTCCAGCAGTGCATCGATCATTTACCGGGCGCATTTCCCACTATGCATTGGTGTATTGGATGACTCCCCTTAGCAATGTGTGATCTTGGCAAGAAAGAAATCACAGTCAATACCCTTAACTCTCTCAACCAGGTCTTTGCATAAACTTAGAAGCCTGCCCCCTGCAGTTATCTTCCTCGGCAGACAGTTGGTCAGTGTGAGTGTCCAGGCAAAGAGACCTCTGTTGAGACATTCACAGACGCCCAAGGACAAGGATTACGGCATGTCTAAGTTGTCTAGCCATAGCTGTCAGAGAGACAGAGAACAAGAGTGTCCTGGATTCTCCCTGTCAGCAGATAGGGATGCGCTGTCCCAAGCCGACCTCGCATTGACCTTCAAGCATAGCTGTTCTTCACTTGCCAGTCTGCTAACATAGATCTGTGTCTTCAGGTTGTCACTGGGCACTGTGCCCTCCCTGTCTGCTAACATAGATCTGTGTCTTCAGGTTGTCACTGGGCACTGTGCCCTCCCTGTCTGCCAACATAGATCTGTGTCTTCAGGTTGTCATTGGGCACTGTGCCCTCCCTGTCTGATCTTGGTTTTGCTCCTATGGCCTTGGATCCTTGTGTTGCCATGGCAAAATGGCTCAGCTCCTTATTGCTTGCTCTAGGAATGCACTTTTGGCCAATGAGAGAAATTTCTTGATCACCTCAAGGCTCCTGAAGGTGAAGAGTTTTTAGAATAAGAAGCACGGAGAGGTTGGAAGCAGGACAGGATTATTAAAGTAGAAACGGAAAAATAAAGAACACAGGAAACAAAGAGCTCGCCCCTCAGACCGTGTGTGAGGTTACTGCAGACATCTTTCACCTCCTCCTTCCCTTCTGAGAAGCCTTTCACCTCTGGAACCCGGGGTAGGGGCCGGGGCGGGCCTCATGGCCCTCGCATTTTGTGTGTGCACACTTGTGTGCGTGCACACGTGCCATGGCACACTTGCGGAGGTCAGAGGATGACTTCCAAGAGTAGAGTTTCTCCCTCCACCGATGACCCCAGGGATCAAACTCAGATCTCAGGCTGCTGCTGCTGCTGATTTTACCCGCTGGGCCATCTGTGTGGTCCTTATCACTTCCTTCACAGTCACCACAGTTACCTCTGGGGCACGTGACAGGAAACGAGGGGGCGTCAAATGCTGTGGGGCCAAGCTATTTAGGGAAAGATTAGGAAATGATTTGTTATTGATTTCTCTAGGAGCTGACAGTAATTTTAGATTCTGGGCATCACTGTTACCGTAGTAACGGTGGTATTAAGGATGTAAATGATAGGGTTGTTTTATTGCTTTTAAAATATTTATCAGGCTGGGTTTGGAATTGAGCAGGCTGAGGCCGGATGATTTCACGTTCATGGTCAAGGTCAAGTTTTGCTATACATAAGATCCCATCTGCAAACAAAACAAAACCACAGAACATTCCCACTGTTTCGAGGTGGTGTAGGTTTCGTCTTCATCTTTTTTTCAGGGTCCTTCGTATTTTCATAATGGTTGACCATTTTGAAAAGGCATGCAAACGTTTTTATGAGCACTGATGAGTCCCGCTCCTGCCTGTGAAGTTTAACTAGAGTAGTCCTTCATGGGTTCTGTTCTGAACTCGGCGTGGCTCTGGGGCCTGTTTCGCTGTAACTATCCCAATGCCCGCAATGGCCTTCTGTCTACTCAGAGCCCGAGGGCGCTGTATTTGTGGGGTTGGGTTTCTCATGTCAAGTAGTGGCTCTCATCTAACTCTGAGAGCGGTCCTAGGCCTTTAAAACAAACCCCGCTGAAGCTGACCTGCAAGCCAGGGTCTCACCAGGTCTGGGTCAGGCTGGAGGACTTCTCTGACCTTCTGAGGAATGCTTTGTCCTGGGGTTAGGTGGGATGCTTTTTCTAAAAGTCATCATCAGAGAGATGTCCTCTGGGCTTGCGTCACTCTGACTAGATTCTGAATCACAGCTCAGCGGTTTCTCGTGGCTCAGTCCCGCAGTCGTCAGTTTGCCCCTGCGTCTCCCCTTTGGGAACACTGAGTGCATCAGTCTCGGGTTCTCATGGGGAGCTCTGAACACCTTCCGCGCTGTAGCTCACCGACTCCACAGTAGCTGCTTAAGGACAGCGCTGTTTTATTCTGCATTCCAGATGCTGAGAACTCAGGCTCCTTGCCTACGGGGAGGCTGCCAGGTCGAGGCTTGAACCCAGGCCAACTGGCCTCCAGAACTTGTGACCTTTTAGCCTGGCCTTCGATTACATTCCTTCAACACCCACACTGCTTCCAACGGCACCATTTCTGTGACACGCTGATGTCCAAAATGGAGCCGGTCTGTTGGGAGGGTGGAGGGCTGGCCTCCACGGCTTCGGGGGATTCTGAACTATTCCCGGAGGAGTTGAGTGGTGTTGGGCAGGGCAAGTGTCAGTACACAGTCAGAGGAGCAAAGGTGTGGGAGGCTTCTCACAGTGATGGGCGGGGAGCTGGACCAGTCCGGAGCCTGCTGGGCGGAGTGAGCACAGGCAGGCTGGGGTCTCGGCTGCTGCTGTCCACTGGTAGGTTCTTCTCCAGGGAAGTCTCAGGCCCTTCGATGGATTAGATCAGGCCCTTCCAGTCTATCCTCGCCGATGGTGCACTGGTGGTGGAGATTTGTCGCATCTACAAAGGCTATTGTTTGACTGTGTCGTTGAGAACTGTGGCCAAGCCGAGCACACACAGCAGAACAAACACAGTCACTGTGAGTTTTCCCATTTCTCTTTGCCGGTCTCTTGGGTGTCAGAAGCAGTGAGCACCGTGGGTTGATTGATGAGAGACTTAGAGAAAGAAAGCGATGTTACCAGGATCATCTAAGCCTACCTCGGGAAGGCTGAGTTACAAAACAAAAGCAGAATTTCGCTAAAGGTGTGCTTGGGGTGGAGGAGTGCACCGAGCTTAGGATTGCCGAGGAAAGGTTTCTGTGAAGACTGTTCGCCAACATGCCACCAGTTGGGTCCCCTTCCTGGAACAAACAGTTAGGCACGGCTATAGGCCACTGCCCAGGACAGTAGGTGTGGCCTCCCTTGAAGTACTTGGCCAAGTCCAGGTTTGTCTTTGACAGGACTGGCTCCTAAGTGGCTTGCACACCACGCTGGTGGTGTAGGAGGATGGGAGGCCCCGATCAATGAGAGATGACATCGGGTCAGAAGGTTTTGCTGCACTGTTCTGGCCACATCGTTTGCCTTCATGACACCCAGAACCAAAGACGCTGGGTAACCCCGTGACCTCACTCCCTCCCATTTGACCTTGTCCCCAGGACGTGACAGTTGCATTTGGCTCACGTGCATTGCCTGATTTTGACTTTTCCTTTGGTCCTGTGGCTTAACCAAGGATGCTAGAGGGTCTGGTCCCAAAGTCAGTTGTCAGGTGTGATTTCCTGTAGCCCAGGCTATCCTCAAACTTGTGATTTCCCTGCTGCTGTCTTCCGAGAGCTGGGGTTAGACGTGTTCGAGTTACTCTCAGCCATTGTTGCTGTTTCCCAGCGTCACTTAACTTCCTCCACGCTGGACTGGCTGCTCCTGCACTGTGTGCTCTCCAGACTCTTGTTCTAGTGTCTTGTACAGTCAGGTAATGACAATAAACTTTCAAACATGGATGGACACACCATTCAAAAATGGATGGGCACATGATTCAAACATGGATGGACACACATAATTCAAACATGGATGAACACATGATTCAAACATGGATGAACACACACCATTTAAACATGGATGGACATACATGATTCAAATATGGATGGGCACACACCATTCAAACATGGATGGACACACATGATTCAAACATGGATGGACACACACAATTCATACATGGATGGACAATTTGGATTCCCTGTCGTCTAAATTGCGTGATATGATAATGCATAAGATGGAAGTTAATGTCTGAAACATGTCTTCTTGTGCTTTCTCACTCACAGGTAAAGGGCTGATAGAGAGCCAGAGCCTTGCTCTCATGGGTTCAAGTCACATGAGCCCAGGGACAAAACTCAGGGCTCCTGGACCTGTCAACTCTCTTGTAATGGAGTTTCCAAGGAAACGCAAAGGAAGTGATTCCGAGTCGGCCCAGTGAGTGCACATTGTTTCTAACCCCATGAAATCCATCAGTCGGCAAAAGGGGCCATGCTCACACCATCATTTCTAAGTCTATGGCAGTGTGGCAGCTGGCCACCACCCACCACTACCTGTCACTGCCCCTGCCTTCCAGGGCTCGTGATGATGGACGTCCGGGGGAGAGGGGGTCCGTTAGAATCTGAGGGAGATGATGGCACATAATCAGTGTCACTATGCAATGCTCACTCACGGTCACATCCAGCTACCCTCCTTCCTCACCGGGAGCAAAACGTTCAGCAATGCTTCACTCAGTTCACAGTCGCAGAACAAGCAGGCCTTGGTGGTCGCCGGTCAGCTTAATCTTACGAAGCTCTTGTTTCCATGCTTACTAAGCCAGGAGGATGATGAAGACGATGGTGAGACCATGATTCCCCATGTTACTCGATTGTCTGTTTTTGTGTTGCTGGAGACAAATCCAGGACCCCAAGTGTGCTAGGCAAGATTTGCGTTTTTGAGCCACACCCCAGATCCTCACCAGACGATCCTAGGCAGGTGCCCTAAACACTGAGCCACACTCCAGCTTGCACCCCCCCCCACACCCTTATGCATCTTGTGTCCTAAAATATTCTTTAATTATGCCCCCAAAGCTAGGCTTATGTCGTAACATTGTTTGGGACAAATCGTAGCATGGCACTGTATGTGAATGGGAAAGTTGGGAACCAGTTTCCCACCATACCTGAGAGGAGAATGCAAATAAGCTTCCTGGGTCTGTTTAAGTCAGTTCTCAGCAGGCTTCTCCAGGTTTGATCCCCAGGACAATGGCACTGGCGTGATTCAACCGTATGCCTCAAAGGACTTTCCAGGCCAATTGTGCGTGACTGGGAGATTTCTTCCTGAGTTAACTGTCTGTATTCTGCACCCCTCTCCCATTAACGAAGGACAGCTGGCCAAGGACAGTCACCTTCATCTTGAGTTATCAGTTGATAACAAGTAGTAGTTCCTACTAGGTTGTTTTTTGTTTTTGTTTTTGTTTTTTTTTTTTTTTTTGTTTTTTTGTTTTTTTTTTTTTTTTTTTTTTTTGCATGTGTGTGGTTATTTTGTTGTTTTTTAATCTTCTTTTGCTTTTTGAGACACAGTTTCTGTGTATAACACTACTTAGGCTCCATAATTCAAGGAGGGTTCTCCTTCCTCCCTTAAGCCTTTCTAAGAATAGTCTCATAGACATGCCTGGAGATGTGTCTCCTAGGTGATTCCAAATCCTGCCAGGTGGATGCGAGATTTAACATCCCAGGGGTGGCCCAAGGCCTCCTTCCTTCCGGGTCAGAATTCATGCATGACAGACACAATGGTGGAAAACTTTCCCAGAACCCTTTAACGCCCTTCTTTGAACAAGAATAGAAGTAGCAGCACCCAGTGGCGGCAGGCCGGGTATCCCTGCAATGTGAAGAGGGTGTGGCGTGGGTGTGGCATGTGCAGGAAGCAGGCTTTGCTCCCTGTGTCCCTTGGAGTTTCGCCCTGGCCTGGTTCTCCTTTGCTCCTATCCTGTTTCAAACTGCGGTTCTTGCTAAGTGCTGGATATGTGTGCTATCTCTCTCAGGGCGAGAGAGCCAGCCCGTGGGCATATGAACAGCTCCGTTCCCTTAGCCCCAGACTGTTTAATACTTGTCAAGGAAGCCCCGTGAGAACAGTCGCTTTCTGTGGCACTGATGGCTTTGGGTGGATAGCGGATCCCTTCAAAGGGACTTCAACCAAGAGCCTATGCTCCTTGCTGTGTAGTTATTCAACATTTACTAAGATCCTACTATGTGGGACTCAAGAGATAAATCAGCAGTTAAAAACACTTGTTGCTCTTTCAGAGAACCCAAGTTTGGGTCCCAGCACCCACAAATGACTCACAACTACCTGTATCTCCAGCTCTAAAGAATCTGATACTGTCTTCTGGCCTCCATGGGTGTCCCCTCCAACACACACACACACACACACACACACACACACACAGAGAGAGAGAGAGAGACACACACACACACACACACACAGAGAAACTCTAAAGATTCTGATACTGTCTTCTGCCCTCCATGGGTGCCCGCTCCAAGCACATACACAATACACAGACACAAATAATCTTTCAAAACAGATTTATGTCTATGAGTGTTCGCCTACATGTATGTATGTGCACCACATGTGTGCAGTTTCCACAGAAGCCAGAAGGGGGTGTAAGATCTCCCAGAACTGGAGTCACGAGCAGTTTTGAGTCACCTGTGGGTGTTAAAAGCTAAACTCCAGTCCTCTCCAAGAACAGAAATGCCATTAACCACTGAGCCATTTCTCTGGCCCTCAAAAAACAAACAAGGAACCAAACTACCATGTGACGCCTGGTAGAATATGCCTGAGAATCAGATGAGACACATTGCGTTTAAAAAGGAGAGCAACATGGAATGGGTGAGGATTGTTGAACAGCGATTACGGAAGTGTGGATAGCTCAGACCAGCTGAAGAAAGCACTGGAAGGAAGTTGGATTTAAAAGGCGTTGGAAGCAGTGCAGGACCCCTGTGTGAGGCTGATGGTGGCTGAACGAGAGGAGACATGATTGTGGAATATTATAAAAGCTAGACTCTCCTGAGCTTCATGACTGTTTGACCCTGAGGAAAACAATGGTTGAGAATGAATCGCCCTGTGCTGCCCACCAAGGCCACCACACAGAGTGGAGGAGACCAGAGGGGGCAGATGTGGGAATGCCTTTGGTCTGGAATTCCTTTAGGTGCAGGTTTCCCGGGCAGAGCTGCTTCCAAAGGCTGGAGTATGACAGATGTTTTGGTAGAACATAGCCAGGGAGCCACGTGGAGCCTTAGGAAGGTGCTGTGCACGTGGGAGACAGGCACCGAGCAGGGGATTATGAAGACTCCGATATTTAAGGAGAAGGGAAGCTGGGCCAATTGTCTAAGGTGCTGAGCTGAGTAAGGAGAGCCAATGAGGATGAGGGGCAGGAGGGATCACTGAAGCCAGGCGTGAAGGAAGACGTCCAACCAGCAGATGCCCAGGGGGTAGAGACCTCACAAGCCTGGCAACCTACCCTAGTCCCAGCCTCAGAACCCATGAAAATGAAACAAGGCCTGACTGCACAGGGCGTCATCTGAACTCTGTGTGCGGCGGCGGCGTGCACCCCAGTGGTGATGGTGATGGTGGTGGTGGTGGTGATGATGGTGATGGTGGTGATGATGGTGATGCTGGTGATGATGGTGGTGGTGATGGTGGTGGTGGTGATGATGATGGTAATGATGGTGGTGGTGATGGTGATGATGGTGGTGATGGTGGTGGTGGTGGTGATGGTGATGGTGATGATGGTGATGGTGATGATGGTGGTGATGATGGTGATGGTGGTGATGGTGGTGGTGATGATGGTGGTGATGGTGGTGATGATGATGGTGGTGGTGGTGATGGTGGTGGTGGTGATGATGGTGGTGGTGGTGGTGATGATGGTGGTGGTGGTGATGATGGTGGTGGTGATGGTAATGATGATGGTAATGATGGTGGTGATGATGGTGATGGTGGTGATGGTGATGATGGTAATGATGGTGGTGATGATGGTGATGGTGGTGGTGGTGATGGTGGTGGTGGTGATGATGGTGGTGGTGATGGTAATGATGGTGGTGATGGTGATGGTGGTGATGGTGATTGTGATGATGGTGATCGTGATGATGGTGGTGTTGATGATGACAACGATGTTGATAGTCATCATAAATAAAATAAAAATTGTGAAAACCTTACTGGGGTAGTGGGCAGAAGTGGAGGCTCTCCTTGGCTTGTGCTTTGGAGAGAAGGTCTGGGTGCACAGCTCAGGCTAGTCTTGAACTTGCAGTGGTTTTCCTGCACCAGTCTCCAGAGTGCGGGGATTACAGGCTTGAGCCACCATGATTTAAATATGGAGAAGCTTCAGTGGAGACTACGTGCTTTCAGAGAACCAATTGGAAATGGAAGACTCAGGGTCAAAAACCACAGCAACAAAACCAGAGTCAGTGCTGTGTCTTTCAGATAAGGGCCGCAGAATTTTCTAGACACAGTCCGGAGCTGGATGGGAATGAAGTAAGGGTGGCAGCTAGGCGAGTGTCGGATCATTTCTAATGAGAAGAGGCCACTCACGGTCCCATAGGGGAGGGAGGAAACCACAGCCCTCAGACCTCACATGTCTTAGCTCAGGAAGCTCATGGTCAAAGCCATTGGACGTGGCGGAGGTAAGATGATTTTACGAGCATTTCCCCCAGAAGCTCCAGTTTCTCACGTAAATGCAGTTGCAGTAGGAGCATCCTGAATGCAATGCCATGGGTCCCACACCCTAAGTGCCTCTGGGCAATGGGGTGAATATTAGCCAACAAGATTCTTCCTCCCTCCCAGGGAAGCTCACAGCCAGACAGAAAAACGGCGGAGAGACAAGATGAACTATCTGATTCAGGAGCTGTCATCTATGATCCCTCCACTCAGTCCCGCTGCCCGAAAACTGGACAAGCTCAGCGTCCTGAGGAGGGCGGTACAGTACTTGAGGTCTCTGAGAGGTAAGTAAGCATGAGAGATGCCCCAGGCTGGACTCCATCTCTACATCAGAGAGCTCTGTTACTCTGTGGTTGGTCCTGGCTGTGGTATGTCTGTCCACCTTACCATGCCCACGCAGAATTGTACCCATTGTCTTCACATGAGAAGATAGGCTGTCAGACACCAAAAATCCCAACATGGATGTGTGGACCAGCGGATTAGGAGGTCAAGGCCATCCTTGGCTACAAATGGAGTTCAAGGCCAGCCTGGGCTACACGAGACCTTGTCTCAAAGCAAAGTATAAAACAGATGTACACCTTGTGGTTCCTGCTTAGATCTCTGCCTTTAAAGCCAAGCCCAGAGCAAGGGTTTCAGAGAACAGGGTGTTTGTTCTGTGGGCTCTGGCCACAACCCTGCCAGGCTGGGGTTGCTGGAGAGAGCAGAGCCCTCTGGTATTTCCTTTTCTGTGCTTGGAGATCTGCGTTCCATCAGTCTGTTGAGAAATAAGAGTCCCTTTTACCCACTCTCCAGGCTGCCACCAGTCTGTTGAGAAATATGAGTCCCTTTTACCCACTCCCCAGACTTGCATACGTTACTTGGTTTCCCTTGAGTCTTTAGCAATGAAAACTTTCAGGCTCTACCAGGGTCATTTGAGTCCATCCCAGAGATTACCCAAGGACCTTCATATTAGCCTTGTCCCAGGGGGATGTGTAGTCAGCTAATTCAACACACATGAATTGAACATCGGCTACAAACCTATTCTCTACTAAAGAGAAAGAGGGAGGGAGGGAGAGAGAGAGAGAGAGAGAGAGAGAGAGAGAGAGAGAGAGAGAGGGAGAGAATGAGGCAAGGTCTCTGCCCTCTGGATGTCTCCGCTGACAAGTGGGTAGACCCACAACGAGGTCATTGTCACCTGGTGTGGGGACAGTGAGGTGGCTCAGCAGGAAAAGGTGATCGATTGTCACCAAGCCTGACAACCTGAGTTTGGTCCCTGAGACCTACATGGTGAAGGAGAGAACTGACCCCACCCCCCACCATGCACAAATAAATCAATGTTTTGAAACACAACAATAAAACCCCCTCGTGTGGTATGTGTCCCAGCAGAGGTGTGCGCTGGGAGGAACGATGGGAGCTGAGCAGGACAGACGCTCTCTAAATCCATCACCACTTCCTGGAGCTGATGTATCTGGTGCCATAGCCCCTTCTCAGCCATCATGTGGCCAGCTTCTTGTCCACACAGCCTGGCCAAGCCTGGGGCAGAAAGTACATTAGTGAGGTTCTGTACTCCAGTGTGCCCAGTACAGCACGGTCGTACTGGTTCTGCAAAACCTTAGACACTGTGTGGGTTGTGTTATAGATGCCACAGTCAGAGGGCGGCCCGTGGATTGTGTTATAGACATGGCAGTCAGAGGGCGGCCCGTGGATTGTGTTATAGACATGGCAGTCAGAGGGCGGCCCGTGGATTGTCTTGTTTGGGTCCACAAAGAATTTCTCTAAGGGATGATGAGATATTTTCGGCCTTACTGTTCCAGCTGTTAGTTATTTGCAAACTAAGGGAGCCAAAATCAAATCCCCTATCCCCACTCCGTGCCTGGTAGAAAGTTAGTCAAGGGCTGGAATGGCACAAAAGTGTTTGCCCCACACAAACGTTTTAAACGCTTCTTTAGTTTGGTTTTGTGTCATTGAGACAGGGTTTGAACTCAATGTAGCAATGTAACCTTCTGCTTCTCCTGTCTCCATGTCGTGAGTGCTAAGCTGATGCATGTGCCCTATACCCAGCTATAATAGCTTATTGTCATCAGCATCATTATTGCCCTATACCCAGCTCTAACAGCTTATTGTCATCAGCATCACTGTTGTCCTATACCCAGCTATAATAGCTTATTGTCATCAGTATCATTATTGCCCTATACCCAGCTATAATAGCTTATTGTCATCAGTATCATTATTGCCCTATACCCAGCTCTAACAGCTTATTGTCATCAGCATCATTATTGCCCTATACCCAGCTATAATAGCTTATTGTCATCAGCATCATTATTGCCCTATACCCAGCTATAATAGCTTATTGTCATCAGTATCATTATTGCCCTATACCCAGCTCTAACAGCTTATTGTCATCAGCATCATTATTGCCCTATACCCAGCTCTAACAGCTTATTGTCATCAGCATCATTATTGCCCTATACCCAGCTATAATAGCTTATTGTCATCAGCATCATTATTGCCCTATACCCAGCTATAATAGCTTATTGTCATCAGTATCATTATTGCCCTATACCCAGCTCTAACAGCTTATTGTCATCAGCATCATTTTTGCCCTATACCCAGCTCTAACAGCTTATTGTCATCAGCATCATTATTGCCCTATACCCAGCTATAATAGCTTAATGTCATCAGCATCACTGTTGTCCTATACCCAGCTATAATAGCTTATTGTCATCAGTATCATTATTGCCCTATACCCAGCTATAATAGCTTAATGTCATCAGCATCACTGTTGTCCTATACTCAGATCAATGTCATCAGCATCACTGTTCTTCTGTACCCAACTCTAATAGCTTAATGTCATCAGCATCACTATTACTTTTCAATACAGGGGTTCTCTCTGTAGCCCTGGCTGTCCTGAAACTAGATTTGTAGATCAGGCTGGCCTTGAATTCACAGAGATCTGCCTGCCTCTGCCTCTGGAGTAGTGGGATGAAAGGCGTGTGCCACCACTGCCTGGCTTCACATTGTTTTTTTTAAGTCTTTTAGTGTTTGTGAAGAGTTCCAGAATTTTCCCCTTTAGAGTAATTTACTTGAGTTTTAATAAACTAAGAAATTATCAAATATGGGTATGGTTACACTCTCTGTGTATTTGAATATTAAAATGAATAGGTTTAGTGGTTCACATCTGTAATCTCCTTATTCTGCAGTGTGAAGCAGGATTGCCATGAGTTCATGGCCAGCCTGGGCTGTAGAGAGAGTCTGGCTGGGGATGTAGGTCAGTTGGTAGAGTGCTTGCTTAGAACACGTGATGCTCTGGGTTGGATTCTCAGCACACATAAACTGGGCATGGTGGCACACACCTGTAATCCAAACTCCTGGGAAGTGGGGGCAGGAAGATCAGGAGTTCGAGGTCATCCTGGGCTACATAGTGAGGTCAAGGCCAGTCCAGAATACATGAAACCCTATTTAACAAAGGGGGGGGGGAGAAGGAGGGAGGGAGGGGAAGGGAGGAAGAGAGGAAAGGAAGAAGGAAGGGGAAGGGAGGAAGGGAGCGAGAGAGGGAGAGAGGGAGGGAAAGAGGGAGGGAGGGGAAAGATGGACGAATCCCAAGAGTCAGCCTGAGGTGTTACAAACCCCACTGTCAAGGTAATATCAGCACCAGCTCATGGACAGCGTTCACCGAGCAATTACTGAATTTCTCTGTTTTCAGTAACTTTAGTTTATTTGATTCTAGGCATGACAGAGTCTTTTTTAGGAGAAAATTCTAGACCTTCATTTATTCAGGATAAGGAACTCAATCACTTAATCCTCAAGGTGAGTGGCTGCACCTGGATTTGGATGGGAGTGGAGGTGGCCAGGGTGGGGATGGGGTGGGGTGGGGTGAGGGTGGGGTGGCCAGGGTGGGGGTGGGGTGGGGTGGGGTGGGGTGGGGTGAGGGTGGGGTGGCCAGGGTGGGGGTGGGGTGGGGTGGGGTGGGGTGAGGGTGGGGTGGCCAGGGTGGGGGTGGGGGTGGGGTGGGGTGGGGTGGGCGGGTGTTCAGGTCTTCAGGTCACCTCTTTCGTAGCCATCAGAGTCTGTGTCTCACATTTCCTCAAAGTAGGCATTGAAGATAATGAAATGTCCTTATGAATGAATAATGCCTCATTAGTTTGGGAAGAGCAATGGACACTTCCCAAAGGAAGTCTCCATTGCAGACCCCTCACGCCTCCTCAGGGCCACCCTGGAGTCCAGTTCTTAGACCTCTGTCATCTGAAGACTAGGCGACGATTCATTCAGAGCTCTGCTGCTCTGGCCTCATCCTCTCACAGGCCGGGCTTTGCAGACCCCACAGCAGAAAATTTGTGCTTGATTGACGGTCTTGTCACGTGCTGTGACATTGGTACATGTTGTTGACTTTTCTTTCTCTTCCCCCCCTCCCCCCCCCGCCGAGACAGAGTTTCTCTATAACTCTGGCTGTCCTGGAACTCAGTTTGTAGACCAGGCTGGACTCAAACCTAAAGATCTGCCTGCCTCTGCCTCCCCAGTGCTGGGACTAAAGATGTGCACCACCACTGCCCAGAGCATTTTTCTTTAACTTAAAAAAAAAAAAAAAAAAAAAAAAAAAAAAAAAAACCTTACTGTTTTATTTTAACTTAATCTTTAAGATTTACTTTTTATTTGTGCATATGTGTTTGTGTCCCCCTGTCTCTGTGTGTCTGTGTGTGTGTGTCTGTGCCTGTGTGTGCGCACGTGTGTGTGTGTGTGTGTGTGTGTGTGTGTTTGGGGTGAGGGTGCCTTGGAGGACAGACAGATCTCTTGGAGCACAGGTTATAGGCAGTTTGAATCACCTGATGAAGATGCTGGAAACAGCTGAACTGTATCTCCAGCTCCTGGAGAGTTAATTTAAAACATGTTATTAAGCTGATCTCTGTGTGTGTGTGGGGGGGGGAATGTATGTCCTGGCATGTGTGTGTGCATGTGTGCATAGATCACACAACAGCTGGTCAGACTTGATCTCTCCATCCATTTTGTGGGTCCCAGGATTCATGCATGTGTGTGTAGATCAGAGAACAGCTTGGCAGCAATTGTCTGTCCTCAATGCCATCTCACTGGCCCTGAACAGTGAGTTTTGTGGATATGGAGTGATCTTTAGGTTGGATAATCATGCCCAGTGATTTGGAGGCCACTGATCATGGAGGGTTTTCCTCCTTATTACTCCCTGTTTCTCCCCCAGTACATGTCTGCCCGTCTCTTCTCCTGTTTGTTGTGAGTCCCAGCACTGGGAAGGTAACTCAGTTGGCAGAGTTCTTGTCTAGCAAAACCTTGGGCTTGCGGCCCCAGCTCTGCACAAACCAGGTGTGGTGGTGAAAGCTTGGAGTCCCAGCACTTGGGGTGGAAAAGGCAGGAGGATTTGGAATCCAAAGTCTTCCTAGACTATATAGCAAGTTTGAGTCCAGCCTAAACCACACAACGACTATTACAGAAGAGAGAGGGGCTGCTCTGTAGAACGCCACACTTGCCCCCCTGTCCAGCCATCCCTTTCTGGGCAAGTGGCTTACCTGAGGGATTTGCTGGCTGAGCAGGATGGAAATACAGGCTATATTAAAAGATTTAAAATGTATTTTAATAGGTGGCATTATAATTCAAAAAGAATAGAAAGGGTTCGTACCAAGAGTGTCCATCCTGGAGAGATGGCTTAGAGGTTAAAAACACTGGCTGCTCTTCCAGAGGCTCCAGGTTCAATTCCCAGCACCAGCCTCCTGGCTTACACTCATCTGTAACTCCAGTTCCAGGGGATCGATGTCCTCTTTGCCTCCATGGATACTGGGCACGTATTTGGTGCACAGGCGTAGATGCACCGCCCCCCCCCCACACACACACACAGTCAACCCTTCCACTCAGCTTCCACAGCATGGGCCATAGCAGCTGCTGCTAGTGATGTGTCTTTGGGGGTCTTTACGGGACCCCCAAACCAAATATTCTGTAGCTAAAATTTTCATATCAACAACTTTAGAATTGAATCTGACATCCTCTATACATCGTATAAAAACTTTAGACTGAAATCTGCCAGCTACCTTAACAGCTGTATTTTAATGCCGCCGTGATTTCCTCAACAGCCAACCCGGTTTTGGTTTTGTTTTAATCCTAGACGGCGGAAGGCTTCCTGTTTGTGGTTGGGTGTGAAAGAGGGCGGATTCTCTTCGTATCTAAGTCCATCTCCAAAACCCTGCAGTATGATCAGGTATCAAACCACGGCGGTGTTCTGATTGTTTTTGTTTTTTGTTTTTTTGTTTTTTTTGTTTTTTTTTTTTTAACAAATCCTAACCTGAAGCTGTGTCTGGGCCCTCCCTTCTCTTTACCACTAAGTCAGAGCTTGGAGAGAGATGGAGGACAGTGAACTCTTATGGCCGCCACCTGTGTCTCCTTCAGACACTAAGAGATGATGTCATTTCCTGAGCCTTAGCTTTGTCCACTGTCAAGATTGGTCTGCAGTCAGGATGAAATGACCAAATAAGATGTCACGCTGGAGCTTCTTGAAAGTGTTGGTCCCTTCCAATAGGGACACCACCGCTCATTACTAAGTTATAGGCATTGAATAAGAGCTGTGGTCCTACTGCTAATGACACAGCAAAGCCACATTGATCGTGTAGCCAGCCACACCCCTCTTGCTTCAGGAGGCTACTCGGAAGCTGCCCCCAAAGCCAGCCTGCAGAGCACAGCTTTGATAGCAATGCCTCCCGCTGGCTTCGCTGCTGCCAATTTTAGGTTAGCAGCTAATGAGACAAATGATAGAAAGGGAAGTCAGAGCCTCTATGAGGGAGGCTTGGGACCTAAGAACCCCAAGCTGGAGACAGCTGGAACACAAATGGTGTCGGGACAGATGAAAGTGGAAAATACCATCACACTCACACTCACATACCTACACACACACTCACACACCTACACACACCTACACACACATTCACACTCTCACACACCTACACACACACTCACACACCTACACACACCTACACACACACATTCACACTCTCACACACATACACATACACTCACACACCTACTCACACCTACACACACATTCACACTCTCACACACATACACACACACTCACACACCTACTCACACCTACACACACACATTCACACTCTCACACACATACACACACACACTCACACACACACATTCAGGAATGCATGGACACACCCACACACAAACACACATATTCAGAAAATGAGATCTAAATCCTAATGCCTTAGAAACAATTCTGAGTAACAAGATTTAAAGGAAAATCAGAAACCAGTGTTTGTATGTGTGTTTGTATGTGGTTTATTTGTAGCTATCCTGATATGGTTTCAAGTGCATTTTTAAATTTTTATTTTACGTATATGAATGTTTTGCCTGTGTGTGTGTGTGTCCGTGCACCACATGTGCGCGCGCGCGCGCACACACACACACACACACACACACACACACACACACACACAGAGGCAGGGAGGGTGTCAGATCCGCTGGGACTGGAGTACAGACAGCTGTGAGCCGCTCTGTGAGTCCTGAGTCTTCTGGAAGAGCCTGTGCATCTTAACGACTGGACAGTTTCTCCAGCCTCAGGGTGCATTTTTGTTTATTTCACAAATGTCACCCAGAAGCACAAGTTAAAGTTCCTTGGCGTGATGCATGCATATTTAATCATAAGGAAAACCCACCTCTTGGGGTTGGAATGCGGCTGAATGGTTGAGCACCCTCCTGACACACACAAGGCCCTGGGTTTGATCCCCAGCACTGGGGGACCAAAAAAAAAAAAAAAAAAACCAAATCAACCTCTAACAAGGAACGGGTATCTATCTTTCTATCTTACGTGTGTGAAGAGATGTCTGAACGTGACGAAGCTGAGGTTAAGTGTGTCTGCTTTCTTAACAGGGCAGCTTGGTGGGACGGAATTTGTTTGACTTTTTACACCCCAAAGATGTCGCCAAAGTAAAGGAACAGCTGTCTTGTGATGTTTCACCTGCAGACACCAAAAGTAAGTTCTCCCTCCAGGGTGCTCAGCTCCGCCCGGGTGCATTTCTGTAGATGAGATGAGATGTTGGCCAAAGCAACCTAAGAGAAAGGGTTTTTGTTCTTAAGTTTACTCTTTCAGAGGGATAGAGTCAGTCATGGTGGCAGGGACAGGAAACAGGAAATAAAGAGAGGAATAGAGGAGGGAATAGAGGGAGAGGGAGAGAGAGAATTCCTTTACAGACATATACAATAAGTATATTCATATGAAGTTGATGTGTGGGAATCTATGATTGCTTATAGTTTTCAATCCAAATGAAACATTTATAAGCCAATATTATTTGAGGTTAAAAAGTTCCTGGAGTTTTATTCTCTTCTGTATACGGCCCAGACTTTTCTCATATGAAAGATCGCACACAATTGGGCTTGGGAAGTACACATGTATTCATTATTCAGATATATCTGACTTGAGAAAATGCTTAGTGCCAAGCAATTATTTATCACATAGAAACAGTGACTTAGGGGCCAGAGAGAGGGCTCGGCAGTTAAGAGCACTTGCGGCTCTTGCAGAGGACCCAGGTTCTGTTCCCAGCACCCAGTGCCACTCACGCTTAACTGTAACTCCAGCTCCAGAGGGTCTGATGTCCTCTCTTGACCTCCATGGGCGTGCACAGGCATGCACATGGTGCACATACATCCACTCGGGTAAACACACATACATAAAATAAAAATAAAAAATTTTAAACATTAAAGGAAGAAAATGACCTAGTTAGTTTTTATTTTTTTTTAATTTTTGGTTTGTATTTGCTTGCTTGCTTGTTTGAGACAGGGTTTCACTATGTAGCTTTTGCTGGTCTGGAGCTCCTTAGTAGACCAGGCTGGCCCTTGAACTCACAGAGATCCTCCTGCCTCTGCCTCTGCCTCCCAGGTGCTGGAATTAAAAGCATGTGTCAATACATCTTGGCCTGGCCAGATTTTTGGTACACTCTACAATCCCAGCATTTAGAGAGGTGAATCATGAAGTCAAGGCTAGCCTGGGCTAGAAAGTAAGAACCTTCCTCAAAAGCAAAACAAACAAACAAAAAAACCAACTATGGAATAGTCGTGGGCTAAGCTGGGGACCATTGTTGCGCTTGAGTTTTTCTCATTTTTAAATTTCGTTTCAATTAAACCGTATTGTCTGCTCCCTCGAGAAAATATTAAGGTAAATCGCAAGTGCTTTGAATTGTTGGGTGTGGTGGTGTATGCCTCCAATTACAGCACTCTAAAGGAGGAGTAAGTTGGGAATGCTGAAGTTCAAGGCCAGCCCGGCTGACACTGCTGGGCCCTGTCTCAAAAAGGAAACCCCGCCAAGCAAGCACTAGCTGCATAGTAAGATGGTGTTCGGGAGCATTAGAAGGGGCTGAAGGTGTAGCTCAGCAGTGAGAGCGATTGCTGCTCTCCTAGAGGACCTGGGTTTGTCCCCGGCACCCACCCCAGGCAGCTCACGTCCATCTGAGACTCTGGCTCCAGGAGGTCTGGTGTCCTCTTCTGGATTTCTCAGGCATCTCTCCCTCCCCTCCCCCTCCCTTTCTCTCTCCCTCCCTCTCTCTCTCTCTCTCTCTCTCTCACACACACACACACACACACACACACAAAGATTATTCTCTTTTTTTGTTTTCTCTTGTTTGAGACAGGGTTTCTCCACATAGCCCTGGCTGTCCTGGAACTCACTCTGTAAACCAGGCTGGCCTTGAACTCGGGGAGATCCATCTGCCTTTGCCTCCAGAGTGTTGGGATTACAGGCTTGCACTGTGGTTGCTCTTTTTTGAAAGGAGGGAAGAAGCGAGAGCGGGAGGAGGTGGGTTTTAAGCTCGTCCGTCCGTGATTCTTGTTCTCATTCCCGCTGCTGCGGAAGCCTCTCTGCAGGGTTATAGCCAAGGCCACCCCGGGCGACCAAGCGTGCATTCTGGCTCCAGACGGTCTTTCTTCTTTAGAATGAAGAGCTGTAAAATCCCCGTCAAAGAAGAGCTTCGATGCTCACCCTGCTCAAAGAAGAAAGGTGGGACTCCTAGGAGAGCCGGTGATCAGAGCCTGGTGTGAAGCACAGGTCCTAATTAGTTTCTCTGGAAGAACATGTTGTAAATTCAAGGCAAGAAATAGGACGCAAAGCATCTGAGCGAGACTGTTTTAAACCGGGATTGTTCGTGCTGGCTCATTCTGCTGCCTGGGTTTCCATGATCCCACTGAACCTGTAGCAGAAAGAGACTAAGTTCGATTTGGGGCCAGATCCAGTGGCCTCGAACCTCAGCACTCAGAAAACAGAGGCAGGTGGATCTCTGTAAGGTCAAGGCTAGCCAGGGCTACATAGCGAGACCCTATCTCAAAAATAAAATAAAATAAAAACTCAGATGACAACAGAGTTCCATCTCTGTTTTAAAGTTTGTTTCTGTTTTTGTTGGATCTCACTTTGTAGCCCTGTCTGTCTAGGGACTCACTTGGTAGATCAGGTTGGCCTCAAACTCACACAGATCTGTAACACACACACACACACACACACACACACACACACACACACACACTAAAAGACCCGGAGATAGATATTGGGGTTCAAGCTTCAAGCTGAATACCAGAAAAGCAAAGCAGCTGGCCACTAGCTCTCACCTCTAGCTCAGGCTGAAAGGGCTGATCCTGTCTCCATGAGCTCTCACCAAAACCCAGACTGTAACTTCTCCTCTGCTGAGTCCTGACACTGACTCACATTCCTTCATGAGTCCTGGGATTAAAGGTGTGAGCTATGATTCTCTTTTAGACTGATTCACTCTTATGTAGATCTGGGTGTCCTTGGACTCACAGAGATCTGTCCATCTCTTAACCCTGAGTCCTAGGATTAAAGGTGTGTAGCACCACCGCCTCCTAGCTTCTGGCTGCCGGGATAAAAGGTGTGTGCCTGGCTTCTATGGCTTGTGGCTGACTTTGCTTTCTGAATCTGCAGTCAAGCTTTAATAAATCATAAGTAATATGTCATCACAGAGATCCACTTGCTTCTGCCTCCTGAGTGTTGGGATTAAAGATGCGTGCTAATGTGCCCTGCCCCATAGTAATTTTTAAATCTTAGTTTTTAAGTGTGTAAGTGTGTGTGTGTGTGTGTGTGTGTGTGTGTGTGTGTGTGTGTGTATTTAATTTTTAAAGAATTCTTAAGTTAACATAGAAGGTACCTGGTGTCATTGTGAGCATCTTTATTCGTGCATACATTATATGTTGGTCGTTTCCCATTGGCTGCTCTCTTCCTTATGCCCCTCCCCATCCTCGGTTCCTCCCTCCCTCCTGTCAGCCCTCTTGAGCATCCTTATCACCGGCCACCTCCCCCCCCACCCCCCGCCGCCCCCAGCCCCATGCAGACACACAGTTTTTAGTTCTCGTTAACTGACTTATTGGCTCATCCCATTGTGACCAGCAAAGATACAGGATATGATCTAATTATGCACGAATTTGTTAAGACTCGTTTTGTGTCCCAACACACAGTCTGAGAGAGACAATTCCCCATGCGACTGAGAGACGAAAAGACGGTGAGCTGCACCAACGCTCAGAGGCCGAGCTCTGGAGCCGGTCTGTCTGCCCTGGACGTACTGAGACTGTAGCCCCTGTCTGCTCCCGAAGACAGAGCAGAGGCTGTGAGAGCTCCTCACAGAACGATTAAGGTTAAATGAGTCTCACACAGTCACAGCCCTAAGACCGCCTGGCGCATGGCTCACCCTCTTCATGTCTGGCCTGCTGCTAACTGTAACCCTTAGGGCAACCTACAGCATTTCCTGTTAAAAGAAAAACAAAGGTTTCTTTGTAAAGGTTTAGTGTTGGGGACCCACAAGACGGTGTGATGGTGAAGGCATTTGTGGCACAAGCCCAGTGATAATCCCACATAAAGATGGAGAGAACCAACTTCTCAACGCTGTTCTCTGAGCTCCGCACGCAGGCTACTGCACATGCCCACACACGTGTATCATACACACGGTATAGTGACGATGAAATCCATTGTCCTATCAGGCTTCCTGAATAATGCCAATTTAAGACATGGCTGCTCTCGTCTTCTGTAGGTCCAATCGCAACCGAATGTTTCAAATGACTTGTCTTGGGTTTTTCTCTTTCTAACATTTAAGTCACCCTTCTCCTAAGCCCGTGTGGTAGTTCCTTGTTTTCGTAAACTTTTCTCGTGTTTGAGCGTATGAATGTCTTTACATTTTGGTGGTCTGGTTTGACAAGCTGTTGCACAGGAATTAATTGCTTAGAATTTTTTCTGAAAAGTCAAGGTTTGAGTCTTTTTTAAAATAGCTTTATTATTATTTTATTATTGTGTTTCTAAATGCTCATCAAATGTTTCTGCGGTCCTGCAATGACCATCACAAACAACAGTAAGAATTTTTTTTTTTTTCATAATAGACAGACATGGTGGTGCGGGCCTGAAACTGCTCGGAAGGTTGAGGCAATAGTTTCAGGAGTTAGGAGATAGCCTATTATACTACATAGGGAGCTGGGGGCTAGCCTGAACTACAGGATGAATTTGTCTCAAAAAAAAAAAAAAAAAAAAAAAAAAAAAAAAAAAAGAAAGAAAGAAAGAAAGAAAGAAAGAGGAATTGGCATTCATGGTTGTCTAAGTGTATTTCTGTGACTCTTCATCAGACCACAGGAAATTCTACACCGTCCATTGCACCGGATACTTAAGAAGCTGGCCTTCGAGTGTCGTTGGCGTGGAGAGCGAGAGGGACGGTGAGAAAGGTCCTCTCACCTGCCTTGTAGCCATGGGACGGTTACACCCATACGCTGTCCCTCGGAAGAGCGGCAAGGTCAAAGTGAGGCCAACCGAGTTTGTGACCCGCTTTGCCATGAATGGAAAATTCGTCTACGTGGACCAAAGGTAGGCAACCCAGGCTGTGGTGATGAGCAGCCCGACCCTGGGGCAGTTGAGGCTGTCCGAGGTGTGGCTCCGTAGCTCTACTGGATTTTCCTTCTAGTTGGGGATGGAGAATAGGAAGGGTACTGTAAGTGACATAAGGAGCTGGTGGTTGCTTTTGGTCAAACTGGAGGACAAACTTGCAAGAGTGCCTCTCAGCCGTGGTGCCGAGGCTGGGCCTGCCCCATGGCCTCGGTGTTGGCTGTCCCCTTGTAAGGACGTCAGCCGGACTTCATGGGGCCTCACCTGAGTGGCCTGTTTTGCAGCTCCGGTCTGTGGCTGGGGAGGATGAGGCAGCCCACAGGAGCCCAGGGTCCCCCCAGGCTGCCGACCCAAACCCTCACCTGTGCTGGACTTGCTCGACCCCGGGAGCCATCACCTTCAGCAAGTGCCATGCTTATTTTTCTGTTTCAAAACCAGGGCAACGGCAATTCTAGGATACCTGCCTCAGGAACTTTTGGGAACCTCGTGTTATGAATATTTCCATCAAGATGACCACAGTAATTTGACTGACAAGCACAAAGCAGGTGGGTATCACATCGAGAGGGTGACTTAAAATGACAACTTCAGCCAGGGGTGATGACTCGCACCCAAACTCTCAGGACTTGAGAGATAGCAGTAGAAGGATCAGGAGTTCCAGGCTAGATGCCCTGGGGCTGCATCTCAAGTCCCTGTCTAAATAAATAAATAAATGAATGATGACAGTGTCAACTCTCAATTTCCCGTTCCTTATGAAACCCAAAACTGGAGTTGATACTCAAGGCATTGGTTTTTGGTTTGGTGTTTGCTTTTGGCCTCGGATTCAGTATGGGCCCCCAGATCCAGCAGCTACCCTCTCCTCAGCTTCCCGAGGGCCGGGTGGGATTCCAGGCAGGAACTATGACACCTGGCTCGAAGGCCTTTTCATTCTAAAGGCTGCTCTGCTGATGGTTCTTTTCTTGTGAAGTTCTGCAGAGTAAGGAGAAAATACTTACAGACTCGTACAAATTCAGAGTGAAGGATGGCTCCTTTGTAACTCTGAAGAGCCAGTGGTTCAGCTTCACTAACCCTTGGACCAAAGAGCTGGAGTACATCGTGTCCGTCAACACGCTGGTTTTGTGAGTAGTCGTCTTCTTAAGACCTTTGTCCTGATTTCAAGTGAGTGTTTCTGCTTTTCTTCAGAAGCCACTAAAACTGCATGGTCTTCTGCTGTGTGGCAACTCAGTTTTGGGATGGGTGCCAGGAGTCAGCACAGAGGCCAGAATCCTTTAGGCTTCTCCCATCCCCATCCCCAAAGTGTGTCATCGTTAGTTACAAGCCCTGGGACAATGTAAAGTCATGTAAATGGCCGTTGTATCAGATCGTTCAGGAATAATGACAAGAAAAAGGTCCCTATGTGTTTGGGAAAGATGCAGGTTTTTCTCCTCAAGAATTTTTTGGTCCACAGTTAGTGACTGAACAGTCAAAGCCGGAGTCTGTGGTGGCCAATGGTGTCTGAGAATTTCCTTTACTTTTCATTGATGCTAGTTGCTCAAGATAAGCTGAAAGTTTGCCCTTTGTAATCTACCCCTTTGTGCTTGATAACGTGTCTGGTGGTAAAGTTAGGTATGGTTTGCTCACCTGTGATCCTGGCGCCCCAGAAGTGGAGACAGGGGGATGAGAAACTCCAAGTCATTCTTGGCTGTGGAGGGAGTTTGAGGCCAGCCTAGACTACGTGAGAACTTGTCTTAAAACCACAGCAACAACAAACCTCCCCAAAACAAAACAGAAGACGAAGGAGCCACTGATTCAGTGGCAGAGTATTTGCCTAACACGTGCACGGTCCTGGGTTCAGTCTTCCCAGCACAGGTGGGGGAAGGTGAGGCCAGGCACACATTTCGTGTCAGTACTAAATAAAAAGAGGTAGGCAGATCTCTGACTTTGGGGTCGACCTGGTCTACGTAGCATGGGCAAGTCAGCCAGGGCTACATAGAGAAGACCCTGTCTTGAAACAAAAACAAAACAAAAAAGAGAAAAGAAAGATGTATGTTCTATGCCTGTGTGCCAGGCGCACGGATGTAAGGGCCACTGCTGTGGGATGCTTTGATCACCCTCTAACACTGCCAACAAAGTAGACTTTGAGTCAGAGGGCAGAGCTAGCTACCAGCTGACCAAAGTTAGCCATAGAGACTTTGGAGGACCCAGGACATATAGAGAGACACAGGAAGTGGTAGGGAGGGAGGAAAGGGGAGTCACTGGTCATTTCTGTGCTGTTTCTCTCATCAGTCAGGTTCTTACCCCGATATCTGACTCTGAGTTTTTGTGGATAGAGAATAATTACATAAACACTTCACGTCACACCAGTTCTGTTCGCTTATCTGTAAGGTTTAGTTTAAACATCCCTAGGAGGCGAGTGTGCCCGAGTTCCCTGTCAGCCATCCCGATACAGCTGTGGACCTTAGCACTAGACTGGGAACCGAGCTCCGTCACTGTGAGATGGATTTGGCACAGATCCCAATCTTAGCCGATGGCGTGAACAGTAAAATGTCAATGAGTAGAAACTGGCAGATAGAACACGCGAACCCGTGCAGATGCATTCATGAGTTTCGCCCACCTCAGGGGTCACCTGTGCTGTCTCTGACTTCCAGGGAGCGCAGTGAGACCAGAGCGCCGTCTATGCTTCGCTGCAGCTGGTCCTCGGAAGGTAAGCCGGTGCTTCAGGTCGGGTTGCAGCTTAGATGCATCATCCAGCACGTGTTGTATGAAGATGTGGTTTTCTGTCTAAGAGAGATTTCCAGGGGAGGTTAGGTTATTTATACACTTGTACATATACATCATACAAACATATATACACATACACACAAACACATACATACACATGTATCATACATGCACACATATCATATTATATATAAACATATACACACAAACACACATGCATATATACATATACATACACACATTATACATACATACAAATATATACAACAACATACACACACATCCACATCCACATGTCATACACATATACACATGTACACATGTACATACATACACACATACACATATCATACACACATTATACACACATTATACACACATATAAAATATATACATGAACATACATACACATATACACATACATGCATCATGCACATACACACATGTACACACATACATGCATATCATATACATACATGCATATATAGACACATACACACACACACACACACACACACAAACCCAAAAACCCAAGGGTCTGAGAGAGAGCTCAGCGGGTAAAGGTTCTTGCCTCCAAGTCTGACAACCTGAGATCAGTTTCCAGGACCAACATGGTAGGGCGAGAACAGACTCACACACATGGTCCTCTGACCTCCAAGTATGTGTGAAGGGTGGGTACAGCCAGCCACATACATCATTTACACACAAAACAACGAATAAGAGACTATGTTGAGCGGGCACGTGGATCCCATAAGAAACTTTCAGGAACACCCCACTATTCCCCTGAGTTGTCACAGTACGTGGCTCACACCTCCACCATAGTGTAACATGCTACCACGCATAAGCAGGTGTCCACAAGACTGATTTCCCCTGGGTGGAGTCCCTCATGAGCAGGACTGGTGTCTTCCCATGCTCTCCCTGCAGCTGGCATCCGTGTTCATTACATGCCACTAGACAGGCGAGGGACAGTCATGGAGGGTGTGTCTTTGCATCTCCCTCCCCCTCTCTCTCTCTCTCTCTCACACACACACCATGAGGATGTGCTCATGTATTTTATGCAAAATATTTCTTTAAGTATCTGCATATGGTGGTGACACATGCATGTAATCTGGGAGGCAGAGTGTGGAAGATTAGGAATAATCCTCCTCAGCTACCTGAGATCCTCCAGGAGGCAGATCTGTGAGTTCTAGGCCAGCCTGGTCTACAGAGTGAGTTCCAGGACAGCCAGGGTTGTTACCCAGAGAAACCATATGGCAAACAAACAAACAAACCAAACCCCTGTGGCTAGAGAGGTGGCTTGATGGTTAAGAGCACTGGCTGCCGTTGCACCAGACCTGAATTTGGTTCTCAGCATCCACGTGGTGGCTCAGAACTGCCTGTAACCCTTGGCACTGTATGTGTTCAATACACCTACATACATGCGAGCAAACGTTCATACACATAGACTAAAACAAAAATAAACAACAGCACAAAAGGAACCATGAGCTATAATGGCATCTGGCTCTGCTGTAAAGGTCAAAAGGAAAAAGACCACGCTGAAGGCCGTGGGGGGTGGCTGCGCCCTTGGTGGCTCCTGTGCGTCCATGATTGCTACTAAGGTGTCTCCAGCACTGGGAGTTATGTCAGGAAAGATGAAGCGCTTTCCTGCATCTGAAGGCGTGGCCAATCTATTTCTTTCCAGGAGAAAGTAGGACATTATTTAGAAAGAAAGGAAGCCACTGACTGTGTATGTGTACCCTTTAACAGCCTCGACTGAATTTTCTGCTGTGCTGTTGCCTAGATTCATCCAGACAGTCCTGTGTCAGTGTGCCTGGCATATCCACGGGGACCGTACTTGGTGCCGGGAGCATTGGAACAGATATTGCAAACGAGGTTCTCAGTCTACAGAGGTAAAAGTCTTCTCATTGCAAATATTCTCACGTAGATGGCTGTCTTAGTTACAAACCAGTACACAGATCAGTTGCTCGTGTGTGTGTGTGTGTGTGTGTGTGTGTGTGTGTGTGTGTGTGTGTACGTGTGTGTAAGCATTCGGGAGGGTGGGGTAGAGGGTGGGTGGGTATGTGCATATGAGTGTCACACCTACAGGAACATCAGATACCTTGGAACCAGAGTCACAAGCAGTTGGGGGCCACCCACATAAGGACTTTTATAGTCTTAATTTGCCAAGTTATTTCTAAACATCACACCAAATACAGAATTCAGGAAGAAAGAATTGATTAATGTGATTGCATAAAAGTTTAAAAATTGAAGCATAAGCATAAGTTAAAAACATAAACTGGAAAATGTGTGTATTTTGTATAATAACAGACCATCTTTAACTCATAAAGAAGTTTACATCATAAATGTATTAAAATATATAAATTTTATATAGCTATATGTAACTTCATGTATAGCATAAAGAAGAGTTATTCAGAACTTTGTAGATGTCTGGAGAGATGGCTCAGCAGTTAAGGGCACTCACTGCTCTTGTAGAGAACCCATGTTCAGTTCCCAGCACCCACATAGTGGCTCACAAAGGTCTGTAATTCCAGTTCTAGGAGATACAGCTCCCTCTTCTGGCTGCAGAGGGCACTGCACACATGTGATACACATACATGCACACAGGCAAACATGACTAACCATAAAATTAAAATGAATAAAAGCAATTTCTTATACTGACCAAATTATATTGAGGCTAAATAGTGGACATGAGGAGAAAAGTGTAAGAGAAATAGCCAAGAAAATTTAAACTTATTCATTTCCACTAATATTTAAATATATTCACACATAATTAAGCCATGGGTTAGGTATTTTTTTTCACTTAAGATTATCAAAGATTTGAAAGTTTGATCATCTTTGGGCACAGTGTAAACAAACAAACAAACAGATCCCCAATTCTTTCCAAAATATGAATTAGTGGAATAACCTTGGACAAGATGCATAAAAATAGAAGAGTAAACCAGATGTGGTTGGGCATATCCGTCCTCCCAGGACTCAGGCAAGATCATCCTCCTGAGTTAGAGACCCCTGGTGCTGCACTCAGACCTTACCTTTAAAACAAAATGTACTTAGGTGCCGTGTAGTGGTGCAAGCCGTTAATCCCAGCGCTTGAGAAGTAGAGGCAAGAGACAGTCTAGTCAGCCAGCGCAACAAAGTATATTTAATCTGAGGCTCAGAACAAGCTGTCTCAGCCAACTGTGCAAGAATGAGGCTTGACGTTGTTGCTGAAGTGGGGCCTTACACAGCTAAGAAATTCAATTCCCTCTAATGCGTCCATGTAGTAGAATGCTCTGCATGTATGGTAGGGTCAGGAGTGATGGCTCAGCAGTCAGCAGGGCCCGAGTTCAAATCCCAGCACTCACATGGCAGCTCACCACCATTTAAGCCTCCAGTCTTGGGGTATCTGCTGCCCTCTTCCGGGATCCAAAGGTACCAGGCGGGCACGTGGTGAACAGACATACATACAGGGAGTCATTCATACACACTAATATGTACAGTATACGGAAAAGGGTATAGAAATGGAGAAATAGAAAAAAGGGTAGTGTGTGTGAGCCCGCACCTTGCTTGTTATATTTCCCTCTATTGAAGGTTTGCAACCAGGGGTCGAGGTAATGGTGATCTGCTTGTGTGTCTTACTTTTTAAAACATTACAGCCTGACTACTTGTTTTGTGTATGTGCATGTGTGAGGGTGAGTGTGTGTCTGCGTGTCACAGCGTGTGTCAGGATCAGAGGACGACTTGAGGAAGTCGGTTCTCCTGTGAGTTCCGGGATCAAACTCCGGTCATCAGGCCTAATGACTGGAGCCTGTGCCAACTTAACCATCTCTCTTGCCTGCATTTCACTTTGTAAACAAAATAAAATGCCATAAAAGCATTTGCTACCTTAAAACACACGGGGGCTAAGAACATTTGCTGATCATCCAGAGGACCTGGCTTTATTCCCCCCAACCACACCGGAAGCCCACAGCCATCTGTAACTCCAGCTCCAGGAAACCTGACACCCTCTTCTGGCCTCTGCAGGCACCCGAACACACATGTGCACACACACATACACACAACATAAATAAAAACAAAATCTTAAATTGCACAGCTCAGCAACACTTGGTGCGTCGTGGTCCTCGCTCTCGGGAGGCATCTTCCTTTAACGGTCCCCCTCGCTGCCTGCTGTCTCACAGCCACAGCCACCTCCTATCTCTTCCCATTTCCCATTTCTTTCCATGGTTTCACCACACCACAGTCAAAATAACTCTGGTACCTAAGAGACTTACCTGGCTGTGAAGACGAGGTATTCCAGTCTGGAGTTCCTTGCCGTAGTTTATCTGTCAGTCATGTGTGATGCATTCAGAAGAGGAACATTCCTTCTGAAGTCCTGTCAGAGGGATAAGCATCTCTTGTCTGCCTTCTCAGGTTACACTCCTCATCCCCAGAAGATTTAAATCCTTCAGAAATGGAGAGAGATAACCACCGTGTGAACTGCGGGACTGCCGGCGTGCCCGTAAGTGAAGTAAATGTTCATTGGTCATTACTTCCTTTGAGGAAGAGGCCAGTCTATAAAAATAAATGGGCCATTCTGCTGACTTGGGAACCTGAAGAGGCAGTATACAGGTCAGTGGTCACAGGAGCTATGGTTAGAAGAACGCAGAAGGACTCCAGGTTGTGACTCTGATACCTAGTCTCTGTAACATTGGGTTTGGAATTTGAACTCTGAATTTGTGAGGCAGGTATGGTAATACCATCCCCTGGATGAATATGAGAATTAGGTAATGGAATATAAATCAAAAACACCTTTTGAGATGGGGGTCCCATGTAGCCCAGGCTGACCCCAAACTCACTGTGTAGCTGAGGTTGACCTCAAACTCCCGAATTTCCTGCCTCCACCGCCCAGGTGCTGGGATTACAGGCATGCACCACCACATCAAATAGAACCAAAACCCCTTCAAATGGTGGTTGGCATGCCTCTGAGCGCTCAGTGGGTAGTAGCTGTTATGATTGCCACGGATTCTGCACTCAAGTGGTTTGAAAGAGATTTAAGTAAAATAAACCATGAAGTAAATGCTGGAGGCCATGTGTTTACACCGACAGACTCCAGCTAAAGGAAATGCCTGTTGCACCTGTAACAATCACTCCCATGGGCTGGTGGTACACACCTTTCACCCCGCGGCTTTAGAGGTGGAATAAAGGGTAACTTCAAAGCTAGCTATGCAACTTAGTGAGACCCTGTCTCAAAATAAAAAGTTTTAAAAGTTAAAAATGTAAAGGGATGGATGCAGAGCTTAGTAGTAGAGCTGGTACCTGACATATGGAAAGACCTGTTTGGTTCCTGTAATCGGGAACGCTACACCTTGTGCTATCTGGAAGTCCAAAATAGGTTACAATCCTAGCAAATGCCATGAAGTGTGGAGTCAGCTCTGTGCTCTGAGAATATAGGAGGAAGAGGACGTGTGACCAGGGGGAGCAGGGGCCTAAAAGTACAAAAGCACATGATACTTGTATGAAAATATAACTATTTATTTATTTCTTTATTCACACATTTAGTGAATAAAGTGATCCCATAGGAACGGACATATAAGTCATTGTAATAAAATCTTCCAGCCTCTGCATATGCATAGCTGTGCACGCATGCATGTCACACACACACAAACATGCACACATGTGTGCACACATGTGCACGCACACACACAAACATGTACACATGTGCACACATACTCATACACACACAAACGTACACATGTGCACACATACTCATACACACACAAACATGCACACATGTGCACACACACAAACATGCACACATGTGCACACACACTCACACTCAGATCTCAGCTTTGCAGTGGGTGCCTGGTTTGCAATCTGCTGGCAGTAGCCAATGGCTCTCTGCTCTTTTCGCTAAGGAAGGTGCATGGGCTGTGCAGGCTGTGCAGACGGGGTGACCTCAGGAACTGCCGACGGAGGTTCTGGTACCAACTGACTCTGAAACCACCAGTGCTTCTCACCGTGCTCAAGAGTTGCTGACTGCTCCTGTCCTGTCTTTCCAGGTGTCCACGAAGGAGCACTCTTCACTGAGTCCTGAAACAGGGGGCCTGGAGTCTGCCAGGCAACACCAGATCTCAGAAGCTGCCCATAGTCACGGGCCACTCCTCGGTAAGTTGTCCCTGTCACCGGCCACCATGTGAACTTTCCAAAGCGTCTTTCTTCGTCACTGTGTTCTTATGCACAGGAGATTTTTGGAGAAGCAAATGGTTTTTAAAGTGATATTTTTTCCCTAGCAGGCATGGTGGTGCATCTATAACCCTGAGACGTGGGAGGTTTGGGGCAGAGAACTGCTATGATTTCAAGACCATCTTGGGCTACATAGAGAGTACTAGGCCGGCCAAGGCTACATAGAAAGAACGCCACCCCCACCCCACAAATACCCCCAAGGTTTCTCCACTTGGAATCCTGGCACAATAATCAGCAGGCATTATTTTTTAAGATTTATCTTTATTTTGTGTGTATGTGTTTTGCCTTGCATGCATGTCTGTGTCTCACATGCGTTCTATCCCCTCAGAGAGGGTGTTGTCTCCCCTGGACTGGAGTTACAGGTTGTGAGCTGCCATGTGGGCGCTGGGAATCAAACAAGGGTCTTCCAGAAGAGCGGCCAGCGCTCTTAGCTGCTGAGCGCTGTCTACAGTTCCAACCAGCTATTCTTCGTATGAAGATGTGTGTCATCCATGTATGAGAGACTTGCCTGCATGTATGTCTGTGCACATGCATGTGCGGTGCCCACTAAGGCCAGGAGAGGAACTGGAGGTCCAGGCTGCGGAACCTCCCTCTGTAAGAGCAGCCGGCGCTCTCACGCCATTTCTCCAGACTCCCCTGTACCCACTCCTAGCCTGTGTTTTCACTTACAGGTGGCACCGCCCAGCTGGATTTTGATACACTGTGTGACAATGATGACCCAGCTGTGGCTGCCTTCATGAATTACCTGGAAGCAGAGGCGGGTCTGGGCGACCCTGGGGACTTCAGCGACATCCAGTGGACACTCTAGCATTTGAACCGGAAAAATGAGAATCATTTCAGAGTGTTCCATTCACATGCACTATCGCTCAGCCTTGTATCAGTACTTACCTTCCTATCTCCTGTTAATGACAGTCTACCGATTTTCGTACATCCGCACCTTGCTCTCACAGGACTGTGGGGCGCGTAAAACGTTTCCCTCCACAGTGAAACAGTCGCGTCCATCGGACTCTCAGTGAGCTAGCCTGGGGTCAGGCTGCCATATTTCAGCTAAAATGTTCTGACCAAAAAAATGCTGCCAACCATATTGTTTGGGCTTTGCTCTTCCTCCTCCTCTTCCTCCTCCCCCTCCTCTTCCTCCTCCTTTTTGTATAGTTTTGTTTTTGAGTTTGCGATTTTAACATATTGACTTTTTTTCTTGTCTGTGGCCTAAGAGACTGATAACGTGAGCTTGCGTGCTGTGGCATAAGAAAGGCTCGAGCCTTTCCCTGATTGATGAAAGAGTTTGGTGCTTCTGGGGTGTGGAGGGTACTAGAACATTTAAAGGGGCAGAACAGCCCAAGGGCATGCTGACGATGAGCTCTGTACTTCCAGCCTCTTTGGTAGGACTTGGCAGGACTTGCTAGGGGTTCCTTGCTGAGGTTCCTCTTGGGGGTCAAGACGGGCCACAGGGGAGAGGACTTCTTGAAACACAGAAAGAGCCAAAGTTACAGATTTGTTGCCATGAGGGCCCTAGACCTTGGCAATGAATCTTTGCAAGCCGATGATGTAACCACTAAGGATTTTCACCGCAACTGGAAATGCCCTGCTAGTTTCCACTGCTGAAGCCCTAGATTCGGCCTGGAGGGTAAATCAGGCAGATGAAATGCCCTGTGGAATCCATAGGTCGTTAGTGCTTAATGTATATAAGACAGTTGCACACGTGAAGGCAATGGACTCCCTAGGTACCTGACGACCGAGCTGACCTAGGAAACAGCTGTAGCCCTGCTAGATAATTAATTAGCGGTTAGTCATCATTGCCTGCAGCCAAAGAAAAACAAACAGTAAATGTAGTTATTGGTTATGGTTTTTTGTTGTGATGGGTTTATTTGGTTTTTGTTTGTCTGGTTTTTTTTTTTTTTGAGACAGGATCTGTGTAGCCCAGGCTGTTCTAAAGCTTACTATGTAGGCCAGGCTGGCCCCAGGTAGAGATCTACCTGTTGCTAACTTGCAGGCACTGGGATTAAATCCAAACATCACAATTCCCACCTCACACAAGGAAAAAAAATCACTTAAAAGCCAACTTCCTCGTAATAATTTAATTTTTAGAAGGCATTTAAAAATGATAATTAACCCAGAGATGCTTCAAGTGGAGGGTGAGAATTAAGATGATTTAAAGTTCTGGCCTAGGAGTGCAGAATCTCCACGCTTGCCTAGCGTGGAGAAAGCCCTGGGTTGGGCTCCTGCCATTGTAAAACGGGTGTGGAGGTACACACCTGTAGCCCTAGCACTTAGGGGTAAAGACGGGAGGATCGGAAGTTCAAAGTCACACTGGGATCCAAGAAACCCCGAATTTAACAACAAATGAAATGAGAATGTTATTTACATGTCTATCTGCCTTCCTGAAGGATCATACTTTGCTCTATTCTGCGTGCACGGGTGTTTTTGCCTGCACGTATGTTCACGTGCCACCTGGAACTGGGGTTGCAGACGGTTGTGAGTTGCGCCGTGGACCCTCTGGAAGTGACGCCGAGGCTCAAACCACTGAGCATCTCTCTGTCCCTAGCGGCACTTACTAGCTGGTATCTAACCGTCTTTGCTGAGCACTCCCAAGGGCACTTTTCTGTCACAAACATGAGTCACACAGGCTGGGAAGGAGCAGGGAACCTCGGGCTCTAATGCAGGAGCTGCCTCCCAGGGCTGGCACTCTGAGCCCCTCACCCTAGTGACCTTTTGTGACCTTGTGTGCCAATCCTTCACGCTATCCATGATCAAGCAGAACTTTCACCAGGTCTGCCCATACACTTCCTTAGGGGACAGACAGACAGCTCCATGGTCATTCTGGTTTCCAGCAGCCTGTCTTACCAGTGTTAGAAGATATGTCGCCATGGTGATGTGTCCTCCGGAGTAAGTGGGCCTGGTGTTGAGCATCTCTGGCCCCAGCACCAGTGGGGCTAAGGTAGGACAGCTGCCGGTTTGAGGTCTGCCTAGGCTGTGTAGAAAGTTCTAGATCATCTTAGGCTGCAGTATGAATCCAGTCTCAAAGCAAAAGCAGATGGAGCAAATACTCGTGGTCTGAGAGAGACGCTCTAGGGGCCGTGACGACCTCTCGCAACAGCAGTTTCTCCTCTCAGAGAGGACAGGCCGTTCCCGAGATGCATGGGCAGATGGCTGGCTGTGTTCGTGCTCTGTGGGTATCTTCACATTTTCAGCCTAGTGAAACCCTTTCCTGCAGATAGATCCCGCTGCCCTGGGCTCGGAATCCACTCCCCAGCCCACCCCGTGCTTGGTGAGACTCTGCCTTCCCGTGTTTAATGTTTCTTCTTCTGGTGCATCCCGTTTGTGTTTGGTTGGTTTTTCAAGACAGGGTTTCTCTGTGTAGTCCTGGCTGTCCTGGAACTGTAGACCAAGCTGGCCTCGAACTCACAGAGATCCGCCTGGCTCTTCCTCCTGAGTGCTGGGATTAAAGGCGTGTGCCACCATCAGCCAGCCACTTGCCACATGTGGCTCTGAGTCCCTGTGTCTGTATGGTCAATAAAGACATAAATTTATTGGGAGACAAAGTCACCAGAAAGTGAAGTCAGAAGAAATAGGGACTGACGGAGCAAGGAAGAGAGGGTTGTGTGTAGCGTCCCACTAAAAAAATGCCACACCTGCAGTCCCGGTTTTCATGAAGTTGAGGCAGGAGGATCACTGTTAGTTTAAGGCTGCTCCTAGCTGTGTGATGAGGCTGCGCCTCACTGAAATCAGAATACATAATAAACTGGCACTGTAGTCTGCAGGATCTCTGGGCTCAGCAGGGGTGTGTGTGCCCTGGGGCCATATCAGGACTGATAGCTAGAACTCTCCAGAGGCTACCAGAAAGAGCTGGGTAGCTGCTAGGCGCCTCCCTCCCTTCTCTGAGGGGCTTTCTTTGGATTCCTTCCCAGCCCTGGGGCCTGGGAGGGGCATTGGTGGCCCTTTGGCTGTGAGGACTCTTGAGGGTTCTTCTCACGCTGTAGGAGAACTTCCCAGATGTGCCAGTCAGTGCAGACCTCAGAGAGCCTAGCTGGCTGTGGTGCCCTCTGACCTCTGGGGAACTGTCAGAACCCAGCTTCCTGAGTGAGGATTTGTACCCCAAGTCCAATGCTTTCTAACTCGCTTGTTCGTGTCTGTGTGTATTAGTATTTCTTTAAGGCCTGTGGTAGATACTGAAAAGAGTAAAATTAAATTATATTTTATATGAATAATTACATTATGAGTTTGTGGGTTTTTCAATTTAACAAACTTTCTCCTCTAGTTTCTAATGTAGAAACACAGATTAAGGAAGGGATTGGCATTAAAATCTTTGGGCAGAACAGTGCACAGTATCTGTCCACATCACACAATAATCACTGCCTGACCGTGTAGATTACAGTTTGATGTTGGATTTTCCCCGCTGGACCACATTATTTCCCCTTTTCTTATCTTTTCCTTCTGGAAAGAAACCCCCCAACTAAGACAAGCGACTTTTTCTAACTTCATTTCCTTTTTGAGTTACATACATGCGTGTACACGTACTTGGCCACCCAGTAAATTAACTACACTGGGTTGCACTTGGGAATGGTTTCAGCGTATTTAGCATCCTGCCTGTATTAATTGGCATTCTTTAGAGTAACAGAACTTGTAGAATGACTCTCCTTATATACATAGAAAAGGGGTTTATTAGAATGATTTACAGGTTGTGTCCAGGTAGTCTAACCATGGCTGTCTATGCATGGAAAGTTCAAGAAGGTGCTCAGTTCACAAGGCTGGATGTCTTCAGTATACACTAGAACCCCAAAGAAGTAGGTTCTATCCACTTAAGAATGGATTTACTAGTGAGGAGAGGGCAGGCAGGAAAAACGAAAGCTTCCTTCTCCTGTGGCCCTTATCCAGGCTTCCAGCAGAGGGCTTGGCCCAGATCTGGATCAAAGGCATGTTTTCCTACCTCAAATATCTGGATCAAAAGTGAATTTCCCCACTTCAAATTAAGCAGAAATCCCTCACAGGTGTGCCTTCCATTTTTAGGTTTTAGTTAATTCCACACGTAGTCAAGTTGAAAACCAAGGATAGACATCACACAGCCCAGACATTTAGTATTTGTTCAACACCACTTCAAGCATGACTGTGCTTGGAATAGCCCACCCAAGTGCCACAGTGAATTCTCTTGGTGCTTGGAATTGCCTGCCCAGTACTACAGCTTTTGAGTTGCTGATATTCTGGGGAGACTAACCTTATTTGATTTTTTTCTTACTTCAGGCTCATACTAACCCCACTGAAGATGCATGCTGGCATCACCCTGTGATGGGAGATGCCATTCTGTAAATGTGTTTCTCTTATTGGTTAATGAATGGAGCCATGTTGGCCAATAGGAAAGCAAAATAGGCGGGACTAGGAGACAAGGAGGATTCTGGGAGATGTAATAGAGGAGATTCAAGATGTGGAGACTTGAGAGAGAAGAGGTGTGGATCCTCTCTCTCCTGTAAGATGAGACCACGTGGAAACACTTAGATTAATAGAAATGGGTTAATATTTAAGACAGAGCTAGCCAATAAGAAATGCTAGTAACTAATACAGCATCTCTGTGTGTTATTTGGGGTTGATGAGACTCTGGGACCAGGCTGACGGGAAAACTGCTTGTAACAACCCTGTTTTACACAAGAGGAACCTGGAACTCATAGTTAAGCATCTTCTCAGGGTTATCCAATTCAGGTGCTGGACTGGGGACCCAGACCCAAGCAGGACAGACTGCTGTGCTTTTTAAAAATATATCCATTTTTGTTTTTTTTTAATTATGTGTACATGTGTATGTGAGTGTGCACGTGAGTGGAAATATGTGTGTATGTG